TTTATGACCTCATTTAAGTTATTTTTGACTTCTTGACGTTCTTCTAGTCTCAAGCCTTTGTTCAAATAAAATATCACTAGGTCACTCTTATATTTCATCAAGTTGAAATACATTTGATTAAGAATCTTCTTATTCATATATACCTTAAATTTGCTTGTACCTATCTTTGTTGTTTTTTAAATCCATCTCTAATGACTCTTCACTCATTCCATGAGTCCAGTTTTCAAAATCAAACCAGATGCTATCATCACATTTCTTTAAAGCTACTTGTAATAATCTTTTTTTTTTTTTTTTTTTTATCAAAAGTAATATCTTTAAAGCTACTTGTAATAATCTTCTTTTTTTTTTTTTTTTATCAAAAGTAATATCTTTAAAGCTACTTGTAATAATCTTTTTTTTTTTTTTTTTTTTTATCAAAAGTAATATCTTGATTGATAATAATCTTGCATCTCTTTTGCAGATAAACTTACTATACCTTTGTTTCTAAATCATAGCCTATAAATAAGCTTTTAATATATATATATATATATTATTTATTTTAAGAATGTGTAGATATGTCAAGCAATTCCATATTCTTAGATGAATAATGTCATACTTCTTTCTTATAAATATTTACTTAAATGTGATTCTTTGATTTATATGCATTGAATATTTTTTAATTAAGTAAATTATAATATTTTCTATCTTTATCTATAAATATCTTGAGACTTTGCTAGTGTATGTTAACCTCACTATTTTTTCAATAATAGATCTATTTTATCTCTCGGCCATATTGTTCTATTGTAGTGTTTTAACTTAAGTCAAATATCTCTTTATACCACTTATTTTGAGATATTTTGAGAATTATTTAGGTAAAAAACTTCCATCTCTATTTATTTTCAAACCCTTGATCTTTTGTCTTATTTCATATTATACCGTCTTCTTGAATATTTTAAACTATAAAAGACTTTCAAATCATATCTTAAAAAAAATGCCAATTTTTTTTTAAATATATTTTTTTTATTAACACCATGATATAGCTAGAGCCACCTAAAGATGCACATGGTAGTGGTTCTATAAGATTATCATATATTAGCTCAAATTCTTTTATAAATCTTTTTTAGTTTATTTTCTAACTAAATAGTTTTCACAAACTTCATTATATTAATATATAGGAGGAAATTCTATCACTTTGTCTAATCTAGAAAGCTGTAACAAGCTACAAAAATATAGATGATGAAATCAATTTATTTATTTATTTATTTATTTTTAACTCTACACTACTTACATCATATTGTGAAAAAAACTTATATAATCTATTAATTGAATTATATTTTTTTTTATTTCTATAATATTTCTATCCATCAAATTATATATTAGCCAATACTTGATTTTTGCAAAAACAACTATTCTTTCATTGTTTATAAGTTCTTCAATCAATAATAGACTCTTTGTGAATAACTTAAAGAATATTGCTCACTCAATCGCCTTGTTCCTAGATCTGCTGTAGTAGATATCTATCGCTTCTTTACTCTGATACAATATTAGTGCAATAGAATTCTTTATTCATAAAGACAACATATCTATTCTAAATAATACACATCAAAGTTAAGTCTTAATCTACCTTAATCTAAATACATGTATTAAAATAAAAAAAAAAACAATGTGTTAACTTTCATTAAGGTATCAACTTCTAGACAAATATATGAGAGTTGAGCATACACTTGTACTAACACCAAATTTATCACATAAAGGTGGTGAATGGAACTATTTGAGAATTGTCTGCCATAATTTATATCTCTTTTGTTTATTTTTTCACTAGATCCTTCTTTCTCATTCTTATTACTTTCAAATCCATTACAACTATTGCCAATGAAGTCTTTGTATCTTCCATAGTTATCAATCTCAGAATAAATAAACAATAGTATTGTACTTGTTTGCTAGATTTGTATACCTTCACTAAAACATCAATATCATGAGTCTATTTTTGGCAAACATGTATATTTTTTGCACATTTATACCTGCAACCTATATTTTTTGATGAACTTGTAGCAAATATGAATAGAAAATGAATTCTTTCCTTATTCTAGCATTTCCTAATCAAAATAGATAAAATAAGATAATAGGATGTATGTAATAACTAAAATCTGTCTCATGTATTACATAGTGAGATTATAGATATAAGTCATAAGCTTATTTAATATTGTCAAATATTATGTTTAAGTATCATTTGTCAAGTCATTGAAAAGATGAATGGATCCAAATAAAAAATCAATAATTTTAGTTCAATAAGTGTGGCTTAGAAATATACACTTTAGTTTGCATCTCATTGTGCGACATTGATAGGATGAATGATTGGTGTCACATCATCACAAAGTAGTGATTTATAAAATGTTGTTGAGGTGTATTTTATTCAACATTGCAATTAAATTTTTTTTGCTATCTAATATATAGAAATGTGACAATTTTCATTTTGTAACATGTTAAAAAATTTCAAGTTTTTTCAAGAGTTTACAAGGAAAATTACAAAAAATATAAATAAAAATCTTTAAATAATTAGAAAAATCTAAATCATACAATTAAGCATAAATCTATAAAAAATATCAAATCTTTGCAAACTTTTTTCTTACTTCACTTTTCTATAATTGTACAAAATATAAACAAAGTCAATTTCAATAAGAAAAACTCTCCAAATTCTCTAACAATACTATGACTTCAATAGCAATTAATATGTTTTTTTTTTATTTTGTACAATGAACATTCTTTTGAAGTTATTATAGTACATAAAGAATATAAAAATCTATTATAAAAGAGGGTTTTATATTTAAAAAGGTCATATTACAAAAATATGTATATATATATATATATATATATATATGTAAAATAATAATGATTTTTTATTTATAGTTTGTAGATTTTTGGATTATAGAATTTTTTTCCATATTTTCATCCAAGAAAAAGTTCTTATCCAAGACAATACTTATTATGTTGATTATAAGCATTGAACTTGATTTAATTAGTACAAGATACTTTTTATGGATTTTATTATTATTATTATTATTATTATTATCATCTTTTCAATTGTATCATAGAAACTTTGATCTTTGAGTCTTATAAGCAGTGACAAAGTACTTATTAATTTTATTCATCAATTTGAATATATCTTAATTATTAGTGGTCTTTGATAAAAGCTATAGACGTGAAATTATCTTTTGGTTTTTTCATTAATTAAAATGTATTAAATTAGTGCTTTAAAAACCGGCATAAATAGTGCACAAAGTGCATAGTGAAATTACATTGGTTGTTGGAAAATAAACTTATAAATTAGATTAGTAGATTTTTTTTAAAAAAAATTAGCTAAATTCAATTTTTCAACAAGAGTTACTAAATAAAAGTGTTAATACATGGATTTCTTAAGAAGTTTTTATACTGAAATTAGAATTGGATTCTATAAATATGGGTTAAAATTCTCAATTCTAACATCTATAATATATCAGTGTCTAAAATCTTTATATTTTTAAGTACAATATCATTTTTATTTTATTTTTAAAAAGAAAAAATATGATAAGTATAATAAGAATACCTTGGCATATTTTAATATATATAATATTAAATTCTATATTATATTTGATTTTTTTTATTTATTTTTTAAATTTATAATTTGTAATTAAAGACTTGACACATCAAAGTAAAATAATAGTATTGCTATTTTGTATTAGAATCTAATTATTTATATTTATATAAAAAATATTTAATATTAAGGATAGAATTTAAACATTAATTTAATTACTATTGTTAATTTATAATATCTTTGCCTTAACTTAATACCATTAGATAGATTATTTTTTGCATAAAGATGTTGATTTTTGGTTGCTTCTAAGATTATTTAGCCAAATCAAACTCAATACTATCTTGTTTTATAAGTTGATAGAAAAAACCCCAATACTAGTACAATGTATTTTTTTTTCCCACTTGTAGTTAAAAATATTTCTTTTATTATTTTTATAATATTAAAATCCTCTTCAGAAGATATAATGCTCTTTAATAAACATTTGGCTCAAATTTGTGATACATGGTTGTTATTTAGTCTTCTCAAAAAAGACTAGTTCCATTATTTTGGCAGCCAACCAACTCCTATCTTTGACTAATATAATTTGATGTCACATAATTAAACCAAATTATCTTCTTTTCTTTTTTCTTCTTGTGATTATTTATTATAGGTTGTAAAATTTTAATATTTTTTTTAATTGATAAAAATAAAGATTTATATAATTTTTAAATAACTACATATGAGACTTTAATTTAATATATTAATAAATTAAAAAGTTTTATGAATTTAGAAAAAATTCTCTTTATATTAAATCATAAATATGTACATTTTAGTTGGTTTTAAGATTTAAAAAAATGATCCTAAGTCTTTGCTTGATACCTTGCAAAGCTATTTGACCTACATATGAATATTGAACCTTATTAGTAATGTGGTGCTACACTTTAAGAAATTCTTCTCTTAAAGGACTCTTATAAGACAACAATAGTAGACCTAACCTTTTACAAAAACTCCTTTGTTGAACTATGGCACCACAACTTCTTTCCACTTATATTTTTTTATTCTATCTTCTCTTTTTCATTTTCTTATCTTAACTAAGTCTCTTTTCAATATACTTCTACTATTAAAATTGTAAGTTCAGAAATTAAAATATAATTATATACTTGATTCCAATTTTAAGTATAATAGATAATTTATTATAACTATAAATTGTAGAATAAAATGTTATTATTTTTTGCTATGTTTTATTATCATAAAACCATCAAAATCAAATTTGAACATTATACATGGTATTGATATGTTAATAATATTAATAATAATAATCATCATCATTATTCTTTTTTAATATTAATATTTGCATAGTAAAATCAAAATCACATAAATTTGGTTTTGAAAAAATTTCATTCAACAAGGGATAGCAGAGTGACAACAAGGTGAGAAAGAACAATTGTCAATTCACTAAAGAAACCAAAAAAACTAAGACAAAAATAAATAAATAAAATGCATACAGAAAAACATACATGAGAAAACCAGTTGCTAAAGCTGCCTGGTCTCTACCCTTCTTAAACCTTCTACTACATCAAACTCGTCCCAGTTGCTAATGTACAAATTCACTCACATCCTTCTTTTAATCTCAAATCCTTCTTTGCTTTTTCCCCCACTCTGCTGCCCACTAACACTTCTGTAGAAAACCAAAAAAAAAAATCCAGTCACACTACTTTGTTCAGAATTTTTTTCTAAAACGCCACCGATTTGGTGCTATATCTTTGAACATGGAAAACTCAATCTCAGTCTCCTTTTCAGGGTTCTTATACAGTGAGCATTCCACCTGCTTCTTTGTGATTCCAAGGCAATTCTAGTTTCTGGAATACGAAATTTTCTTGTACTTGAGGAGGTGTTGGAAATCAGCTCTCAAGCTGAATGAAAAAAAAGTCTTCTCAACTTAGCAGGAGAAATGCACAAATAAACTGACACGCTCATTTTATTGTAGCAAATAGCGACGAATGGGTTGTTGTAAAGGCATGTCTTTGAAGTAAATGAGAAGCGCACAACGTTGATGGACCCCAGATGGGTTCAAATCACTGGTCACGGTTTAATTAACCACTTCCAATATGCCACTGTGTTGTGGTATAAACAATTACAGGAGAGTTGGTACAGGCCCAAAATGTCAACAAACCTGGCCCATACAGGCTTCAAAAGAAGCTGCCCTTGGCTTTTCTGAAGGCCTTCTCGGTCTTCTTCAATCTCTTTGCAAGAAGTGCATTGCTCTTTTTGGTCCTCTCAATCGCGGCTGCTACCCTTATATTCTTATTCTCCAGATCTTTGCATTTCTTCTCTGCGTTTCTAGCCGCCATCATATCCTCACCAGCTTTGATACGGCTCCCTCTCAGGAGGTGTTCCGTTTTAGCCAACAATTGTCTCAGTTTCTATCAAACATAGTCTCACTTGTCTCACTGGAACTGTCAAAGCACAAGCGAACTAGTAAACATGCTACCACAAATGCATGTTGTTGTGACCGATTGATTGATTGACGATGGGACGACGTACCTCCTCTTCCTCCTCCAGCTTCCTATTCTGATCCTCAAGTTTCTTCGCTTTCTCTTTCATGGCGTCAGTGTCGTCCCTATTCTCCAAGCTTGCAGCATGGTTGCATAGTTGCTTCAGACGATTCACCAGCGAAGTTAATCTTGCTATCTCTCCCGCGAACACATCTCGTTCGAACTCTACTTCCTGCGGTTCCAGGTACCCATTTCATTGAGGATCCCATCTCAAAACGAATCTGTCGGAGCATAAGCTCAGAAATTTCATGAGCTGCTGCTTTGTTCAGAAGAACAACAAAACCTGCTCTGATACTAGACGACTGGTCTGGAGATGTACCTTGGTGTGAGTTACGCGAGCGTCCGTTCGAAGTCGATTAATCTCATCGCTTTGCGCTTCAGCCTTTGATTGCAACCCTTCAATTTTTTGCTTCAAATCTGCTACATCACCGCCAACGAAGATTAGATGTTTTGGGTTCACTTTGTGATAACCACAACAATTGTCTCTCTCCACTCCGCTGACTTCGTAATACAGGTTCGGGAGCCACGATGTTGTCTACTGATTGCGGTAGAGGGTCTCCTTTTCACTTCATCCTTCAACTTGTATGTATAATCTGAATGAGATTTAACCAACTCAAAATCTGGAGTTCTCGTAGTGGAAGCTTGCCTTGTATTTTAGCCCGTAGACGCACGGTCCCTTGTGGTTTTGCAGACCTGGACTGACAATTGGGTTTCTCCATGTCTTCAATGTCTCGTTGCATTTTTCTGAAGCAGACAAGAGCCACAAGCGGGTAGTTTTAGTACTGTGAACTGATTTCTAGGTTGCAAGCAGCAATAGGCACTGCTGCAAAATATGACGAAGAAAGGCCCCCTGAAATGAGACCTATTCTCCATCTCCACAATAGAGGCTTGTATCTTATGATGCCGGATATGCTTTTGCTGGTCTTGCACAGCCCGCTTCAGATCAATGATCTCCTCCGAGAGCGACTCCTTGTCGCGGTACGCTAACACAAGCTTCTTCGACACACTCGGCACGATCTTCACCTTGGGCGGGGTGGGAGATGTAGGAGAGGGGGCAGCAGCAGCAGCATCATCGCAAGGCGCCAGATCCAACGTGAAGATTGGGCCTCGCCCAACTGGTCCTCCTTTCCGACCCGAGGCTATCCACGTTCCGCCGCACTCTCCCGCGAGCTGTGGGCAAGGATTCCCAAGGTCTGAGTCCCATGTACCCAAGCGCATTGAGAGGTCGAACGTGAGGGCGGATAGAGGTTGCCGAGTTCCATAGCTCGCGACGCGACATGGGCCTGCGTTTGTGCATTTAGGATCCCAGTCTCCGACGCTGGAGCGTAGATCCCACTGCAGGGGTTTCCGTTCTACGACTTGATTACTTCCAGTGTTTCCTTTCAGTTCGCCACTCATCGCAGGAGGAGGTTTTTGCCTTCCACTGATGGCTTCACTGCTTTTTTTTTTTGTCTTTCGCCACGCCTTCGGTGGTTCACGTAGCTAGCTGAACCATATGAGACGAAAGAGGAAAAGATTTTGCAACGTTACTTCAACGTAGCATCGAAGAACTCGAACGATTCTTTTCTGATGCTCAGTGAATAGACAGTGATGAGTTCCGTTTTTTTTTTTTCTTTCTTTTTTTTAATTATTATCTTTTTTTCTCTTGGTTGCTTAGGAAGATGGAGAGATAGACGACCTTTCACGAGCGGAGGGACAGTTTGAAAAGGTTGTAGCTTTTCAAACAAGGTGGAGTTACTTCATAACCATCATGAATACAACGCTCGTGAATATCATGTTACATATGAAGTACACACAGATACATATATATATATATATATATGTATATACCTCAATTGAACAGAACAGATACAGTGATACTGGATCAGTAAAGTACATTAAAAAAATATATATATTACAATAGATACCGTTATACAAACTACACTTACACACTCTCGTTGGTCAAAGCTCCACATCTCGGGCACAGTCTGAAACAAATCTACTCCTCTTTTGTCTACCGTTTCCACTGTCGATTGATGATCAAGCCTCACAACTCTCCACCCACCACTCCGGCTCTCCTGACTACCTCGAACTTGGAATCCCTTGCCCCACATTCCTGAGCGCATTACAGTGGCTCAAATCACCCAAATTCTACATCCTAAACTCCGTAACCTTAATTCCTATAACTTATTGCGCAACCCACCATTCTGATGGGGTCGAGTTCAAAGGCTCAAGGGAATCAAACACATCGGTGAAGTTGGTGATCACACTATCAGGGCTACAAGAATCGGTGTCTTTAGTATTGCACCCCCCGTATAAATTCGAGTTCTCGCTGTACAGCATCGGCAGCTTCTCCCATTGATGACTGTTAGTGAGGAACAGAGGGAACTCCGTTGAAAAGATCTGCACGTTCTGTGTCAAAGAGCCGTCGGATTGCAGCAGAAACTCCAGGTAGTTGTTGGTGGTGTTGGAGGGGTTGTTGGGCTGAAGGGTGGATTCAGTGAGAGAGAGCTGAGAGTTGAGAGAAATGGGAGTGGGGATGGTGTGCGATGGTCGAGAGATGGGGAAGTTGTCGCTAATGTTTGGTGGGGTACCTAGTTCGGAGATGGCCAGGGGGTTGGAGAGATCGGTGGTCTCCACGATCGGCTGCTCAAAACACGACAGGATGGTTGAGCGAGCGTCCCTTCGCGAGCGCGGCCTCCGTTTGATAGAGCGCGTGGTGCGGGACGCAATTGTGACGCAGGGAAGGGCAACTGAGAGCTGCTGGTGGAGATAAGTCTGGGATTTGCTATCGGTCAGCTCCTTGGCCATGCTCGTCGTGAGGTCCTTCTCGGTGGCATGAAACCCTAATTCCCCTGTTAATGTGCACATTGTTATGGTAATTAAGCCTTAGAACTTGCGAATATCTTGATGATTTTTTGAAGGAGGGATGGAGGCGTTGAAACAAGATGTGCTTATTGTGGTGGGAATTTTTGCAGAGTTATAGAGTTTGTGGCTATGTGGTTATGTTGGAGTTTTGTTGGCGTGTGGATGGAGTGAAGGTGAGGGAGAACTTGCCTGCAGGGAGTGGTTCGGAGAGTTTGTGATGGCTACTTAAAACATCATCAGCTTCCATGGCATTGTAAGCGTGGAGATGGTGGCGCATGTGGCACCGGCTGGTGTCCATGGCGGAGTCCCTGAATTCGCTGTCACCTTCCGCAAAGATGAACTGGTGACCCATGCCGCTACCAATTACTGAGGCGGCTCCAGATGGGCTGTGAACCTGCGATTAGTAATGAAACAATCATGAAGATATGATGTCCTACAAGCCGTGTATTCTTAACTACTGCCCATCGCCTCTTTCATTCTGTGGTATCCAGGTGATTCAGTTTGTTCTACTTTGTGTGACCAAATTCTTGTGTGCTGCCGTGAATTAGAGGCTCAGGCTGCTACTCTGTCTGCTCTGCAAGGACTTACTTCAATACACCCGGGCGTTTCCCAAGGCCAACATCCTGACGATTATCTTCAACGACTTGAAAGGTAGGAAATAACCTGAAATCCTCCGAAGTCTGTCAATGACGGCTCCTTGCTCAGATCTGACGTGTCCGCTGAAGCATCTGTGCTGCCGGAGGCCATCTTGGGGCGTTGCAGAGCTCTCAAGATCCGTTTTTGCCTGGTGCTCCAGAAGTTCTTGACATCATTGTCGGTGCGCCCAGGTAAGCAACTGGCAATCTTGGCCCACTTGTTGCCGAGCTTGGCTTGCATCTCCACTACCAGCTTCTCCTCTTCAGGTGAAAACTTGCACCCACTCCTGTGTTTCTTACACCCCGACTTAATATTTTTGCTCTGTTGGATTATTTTTGTTTAATGTTACAGCAGGTATACATCATCGAGCCAAGCTTCAACCATAGAGCAAGAGTTTTAGGAAATTCATTTAAGTATTGCCTCCATCACACCCATCAACCCAACCCCTCAGATATGCACATCCGAGGTAATTTTCTTCGCTTGAGGGTAAGAAACTGTGCAATTAAGTCTAATATAAAACAAAATAAAATAAAAAAACAAAGCCATCCTACATCTAAATGCAACATTTACTGACACAGTAAGGGCTCCTCTGCAACTACTTTTCAGAAACAGTTCAGAAAGAGCATCTTCCCTTTCAAACGTTAGGAAGTAGCCGTGCATGCATGCATTCGCACTCTCCTCTCCTGTGTGTAGATTCTCTCTACAGGATCTGAGAAGCAACCTCCTAAACTACGACGTGAGTATTACCACGTCATTGGAAGGCATTGCAAGGGCAAATGATTCAATGCAACAGACAGGTGGGTTTACCGTTTGAGATCGGGTTTGAGCTTGTTCACCCACCGCAATCGACATGATTTTCCAGTCCTGGGCAGCAATCCCTTGGTTCTGATGGAACTCCAGTCTCGAGCTCCGAACTGTCTCACATACTCGACCAAAATCTCGTCTTCTTCCGGCATCCATGGGCCTTTCCTCAACACTTCGTCTCCGTTCTGGACCGATTTTACGCTCATTTTGTCTGCCCCTCCCCCCCTCTTCCCCCACCTCTGGATGTGCCACTTGTCCACCAATTGAATTGCTGATTCTAAGAAATCAGCTCCCCACCCGGCTGTTGGTCTCGAATCGTTCTCATCGATCCGGTGCTCTGCCAGTCGCGAACTGGACCTCATAAAAATGTGAAGAAGATTGTTCTCGTCTTCTGGCAGTCCAATTGCATTTCTCCGCTCCCTGCCAGTCTCTTCTTCCACGGAAATGAACCTAAAAAAATTTGTATAGCTTCGGCCCACCAAAATGCTGCATTGGCATATCGTGATCAGCGCAATTGCTGCTAGTTCATTCTACGTCTCGGCATCAGAGTAATTGGATCTTAATTCCATTAAGAAAATGATAATATGAAACCAAGTAAAATGATTAAATTAACAGGTCTCACAGATGTATGTATGACTATATATATATATATATATATATATATCCACACACACACACACATATGAATGATTCTCTTTTCATCATTTCAGTTATCAACGGTGAGATGTTCATGCGAATGCAAAGAGCACAGTTCATCATCCATCTTGTTACAATTTCAGTTGCCACAGAAAATTTAATTTTCTTTTATTCTATGTATCTATTTCTTTTTGTTCTGGCTGCATCATTGCTCTGATCCTCAGATTACATTACTTGTGCATGTAATTGATGGCTAACCTGCTCGAAGTGCTCCAGTGCCTGCAATGCTCCAAGAAATTGAACTCAATTTTGTCGATCTCATTTGCAAGAAGCCAATCTCATGACACTGCAGTTACCTGCAAATACAACGTGCAAATTATGAGCCCAATACTGAAACGAGTCTTTCAACAACAGCGTCTGTTTCTCAACATGGTAATCAGTCATCTTCTTGGCTCAACTCAAAACCAAAAATGTGGATCTCTGCCTGCTGAGATCATTCCTAACACAACAGCATCGCATCGTAATTATTTCGCTCCATCAATATATGTAAAATCTCATGAAGAATAACCCATGTGGCGACGTGAGATCGACATTACGGTTCCGCTCAGAAAAATAAACACAAACACAAACACAGCACTTCAGAGAGAGCCAAAAGCTAATCACACACAATGCCAGGATTCGTCGTTGCATGGGTTGAAGCAAGATGGGTGTCGTTGCAAGGCCCTCCTCTCCACAACACCAATACTGCAACAACCACGGAGCTAATAACAATAACTGGGGCTTCTTCGTCAAGAAAACAGTGCAGCCTCGAAGCCAACAAATAAAAACATACACCCACACACACACAAAAAAAGCTGCTCCCGAGCTGCTCAGAAACTGGCATCGATCTCACATCGCCACCGTGAGTGTGATGCTTCAACACAACACCACACAACACAATACAAGCAGAGGACTTGCACTTGCACTTGAACTTGCTTTCTGATGCCAATGCTGATGATATTACAACAAGGATCAGTAGCAGCACAGCATTGGCAGCAGCGTCACTGCAGGGATACGACCAAGAACATGAAGAGCTTCGATGGATCTGGCGATGGCGAATCCGCCTTCAGCTGCGCTTCGAAGTGAGCTCTGAGGTCGATTCCGCCACAAACTGACCTTGTATTCTATTCTACAGTTTTTTTCTTTTTTCTGTGTTTTTTTTTCCTATTCTATTTATGTATCTGAGCATTCTGCATTTTCTTTTTTGCCATTTTGAGCCACTTTGCTTTGCATGTTCCTCCGCTTTCACTCTTTTGTTCGTTCTTTTTCGATGCATGTATGAAGTTTTTTGTGCTGTTTTTGTATTGATAACACCATTATCGCTGTTTCAATACCCAGTTTTTGACTCTTTGTGAGGTAATTGTGAGAAATTTTGTTGGATGTGTGGACTTGAAAATGTGTGATTTGGTGATCCACAAAATTTGCTAATGATGATTTTAGTTTGGAATTTTCGTTTTTAATCATTCGTTGAATTTGTAATAATGGATTTCCTTTAAAATAAAAAAAAAAAAAATGATTTTTTTCTCTATTTGCAAATTGTGTTATTTGACAAATGTAATTGATGTGTAAATCAATTTATGCATAACTACACATAAGCTTTAAATATATTAAATGAGATGCTTAGCTATTGCTCACCTAATTTATGAGTTGTTGTACATTTATAAATTTTATGTGATGATTTGAATAGATTTAAATATCTATTGAATTGTATGTCAATTGATTGTATTTTCAACCTAAAAAAATGATTTTGTGTTGAAGTTTATAGCTTGTATACGTGAATTATGTATAGTAGAGATTTAATTAAAGTACATTTATAGGCATAAGAAGACAAGAGAAAAAAGATGCATATTTTAAGGAATGTAAGCAAACAATTTCTAATGTTTAAAAAAAAAGGACCAAAGAGAAGAAGGAAGAATTGGAGCGGTTATAGTTTTGTTAAATTGACAAGTTATTACCAAAATTCATCCGGCGGTTATAAATATTTCAAAAAATATTATAGTTTACGAACAATTATTATATTTTTCTTAATGACAAAAACATATGCAATTTTATTTTCTTTTTATTTTTTTATTTTTATATTTATTTTTTGAAATTATTAATAATTTTAAATATATATATTTTAATAAATATTTTTAATCATAATTTATTTATATAATTTAAATTTTAATATTTTTAAAATGATAAAAAAAATAAAATTAATACATTTTATATATACAATTATTTTTAAATATTATTTTTTAAATCCTAGATGGTGTATGATTATAATTTATGTATATATAAATCAAGATGATGTATATATTCGAAAATGATGTATATATGTATGGTGTATACATCAAGATGGTGTATGATTATAATTTTTGTTAAAACAAAGACTAATGCAATTTTATTGTATACAATTTATGCTATAAAAAAATAATTGGTTTTAAAATTACCATTTATTTATTTATTTATGTAATTATACATCATAAAAATATCAAACTATAAATAATCAAATAATTTTCTAAATGAATAAGTAAATTAATTTTACTGTGATTACTGTATTTGATATTATTTTGAAGAATATAAAATAAAATATCGTATTTATAAATCATTAAAAGGTATCAAATTTATATAAATAAATAATTTTCTTTTATCTTCAAATGAACCAAAAATATAATATATATAAATCTTGTGAAAAAATGTTAATAATTTTATATTCTGTTTATGGATTAATATTATAAAATTATTACGCTAAAATTTAATCATTCTCTTCAAAAATAAAGATGTCATTAAATTAAATATCAAATGGCAAGAAAATAAAGTATTAAATTTTCAATTCACGTAGTGATTATTATTTACTGAATTTAAACTACTTATTGAGCATTAACTTTATTCATTTGAAGAGATTGATAATATATGTATTTTATACTATTGATAATTTTTCACGTATATATATATAATAATAAATTAAAATAACCCCTCTATTTTTTAAGTGTCTTACATTGTAAAAGAGATTCACTAAATACTTTTTTAAAAAAATATTTCTATAACTTATTTAAATCTGGGTGGGCTCCAAAATTATTAATAAACTAAAGAAGTTAAATTTTTAAAAAAATTATACCAAAAAAACACACAAACAAACAGAATTAATTATGCTGTTAATAAAGGGAAAGAGGGGAGGAAATTTAAAAAAAAAAAAAAAAAAAAAAAAAAAAACTATATATAAGTTATCCTTACATGGAATTATCCACGTAGTACATTCAAAAGAAATACTCAAAGAATTGTAAAAGACTATCAAAACAAATAAACTCACAAACACACACACACACACAAGTTGAAAACCAAAAGCTTTGTCAGAGTATGCAATACTTCCTGCAAACCCACACAAATACTGTCTCAGGCTGTCAAATACAAACATTTCCATAACACACAAGCCATGAAAAGCTCGAACCCACACCAACAAAACTCTGGATGCATATAGCAACAACATTGAATCCAAAAACACAGAAAAACAACACTTGCACAATAACAGATGCAAAAACAGTAAACAATGAATCATAGAAACGAGCCCATGGTGTTACCGGAATCGTGAGGCACATAACCCAGTTTCCAACCCCCAATTTGTTGCGCTTCTCACGCCGCAGCTGCTCCCACAAACACCATCCTTGTGAGCAACACCAAAAAAACGAAGAAGGAATTATTCCCAGCGTGGTAAGATTTTCCTTGTTTCTTCGTGAATTTGATGGTCCTAGTGCACTGTGTGCCGTAGACAAGTCGAGATTGTGTCGATGGTGCGTTTTCAATGCGCAAGGGATTTGCTGCTGTGGCTGAGTCCACGCCCTTCCAACAAACAATTCATGGGTCGCTCTGCTCGCAACTCTGACTGGTGGTGGCTTACGGTTTCGTGGTTGTGAATTGCCGTGGACCCGATCTGCGGTGCGGGAGTGTATATGGGTTTTTTTTGGATCGGTGTCGATGAGGATGAGGTTTTACCGAATCGATGAAGATCGGGTATCTGAGCAGTCAACCTCCAGCGATGGTGAGAGTAATCTCAACAGGGTTGTCAGTCTCTGCAGACTTGAGGCCTTTCAGTTGAGTGGGTCATGGCAGGCGAGGATTACCCTCACGCGTTTGGCTCGTCTCTTGCCGAGCGACGACTTCGCGACGTCAACGTTGACAGCAAACCAGAACTGGATTCAGAAGGGCAACAAACTGAATTTGTGGGGAGAGCTGTGTAAGGAACGAAGTAGTTTTCACGAGTTGGTTAAAACGTCTGTATCTGACAATCGAAGTATATGGCTAAACTTCACATGCACTTCGGTCTGTGAAACTAACGAAAAATGTTCGATGATTAGGCACCTGTAATTAGCACCAAACTCATGCTTTCAGTGAGTGACTGCTCGTGCAGATGACGAACCACCGCCGAGGCTCAAACCGGTGGCTTGGTGTGCACCATTTGCATGGCCTGGATATAGAATATTAGCTGGTGAAGAAGATTGTGCGAATATCTCTCTAGCGGGGCTGGGTTCTATAATACCCCTCACACATGCGCTGGTTCCTTATCGGGGAAATGTGCACACTGATCCGAATCCATCATCACTTTTGGCTAGTGAGATAGAATTCCTTTCAACCTACGGTAGGCAGATTGAACCATGACCTACGCCGATGCAATCGAGGTCGACGAAAGACACAACGAGAATGACAACTGCTACAATCCTTTCACAGTGCAGGTGCACGACGTCAAGGTGTTGAACCCCATCGAACCCACGGAGAAGGCCACTCTCTACCTGTCCAACATCGATCTCCTGTTGGTGCAGCCCATTGACACCTTCTTCGTGTACGCGCCCAACGAGGAGCGAGACACAGAATCCTTGTTTGCGGTTTTAGAGGAGGCCTTTCTGAAGCTCCTGGTACCGTATCACTTCATGGCGGGGAGGATTGAGGAGAGTGAGGAGGGGCGGTTGCAATTGAAGTGCAACCGGGCAGGAGCGGGATTCGTCACCGCAAGCTCGCCACAGACACTGGCGGACATCGGGGATTTAAGGGTCATGAATCCTGACTTTCGGAAACTGATGCCGGCGCCGAAGGGTGTGCAAGGTGTCATGAATGACGAATTCCTCCTCAGGGTCCAGGTGACGAGGTTCCGGTGCGGAGGCTTCACCGTTGGATTCCGAATGAACCACGCGATGTGTGACGGCGTGTCGACGACACTACTCTTTCGCTCATTCTGCGCGTTAGCACGCGGGGAAGCGCTCACCACATTCCCTGACCCCGACAGAACGATTCTCGCCCCTCGAGAACCCCCAACGCCAGAATTCCCCCACTCCGAGTGCTTCAAACTCAGTGAGCTTCCGAGTGTGATTGCACACAAGACGCCAGCACTTGGCCCCGAGTACACTACCAAGCACATCCCCTTGTCCCAGATCGAGATCGAAACCTTGAAGGCCATCACAATGGCCGATGGGAATATCACAAAATGCTCCTCCTTCGAGGCCGTCATCGCTCACTTCTGGCGATCCCGCACTCGCTGTCTCGACTTCGCTCCCGAGGAGATATCCAACATTCTAATTGCTGTGGATTTTAGAACCAGAATTCAGCCCCCCATCCCGCCAACTTTCTGCGGCAACTCCATTATCTCGGCTCACGTCAGTGCCCCAGCCGGTGAGATTCTGCAGGAGCCCCTTTCATTCTGCGTTGATAAAATCCAACAAGCTGTTGCGAGAATTAACGAACGCTACGTGCGGTCCGCGATTGACTGGCTCCAGATCCACAAAGGCTTGCCGGCTGTTAGGACCACGAAAGATTGTCTGGTTTCGGCGTGGTGGAAAATCCCATTCTACGAACATGACTATGGATGGGGAAAGCCCGTTCACTCCGGGCCGCCTTTCCCTGGCACATCAGAATATGTTCTAATTGTGACTGATCCTGCTGAAGATGGTGGGCTTTTGCTCTTGGTGACCTTGCTGCCGCACGAGATGGTGAAATTCAACAAGTACTTCAAAGACATAAGCTCAGGATCAAATTCAGGTACATAATTGGCGCATTTTGCCTACCTCATCAATGGGTTCGATGAAGACGTGAAGGAAAGAAGCAACAGTAAGAAAGTTTTATCAGGCTTGTTTGAGAATCTCAACCACAGATTGAGTGAAAGATATGTAATACAGCTCATGAGAACTACATCCAGACAGTCCAAATACTCCAAGTCGAGGAATGGTATCTGCAGATGATGGAGGTCACCATTTGAAAGCCAGTTTATTCAAATTTGAAACTCGATTTGAGCAACAGACAATTGTATAGCATGGAATTCAAATACACATAATTAATTCAAGCATTGACGTTACCCCATTCGTGCTTCGATCCGCCTCTCTTTGTTGATCAGCTCTGATTTGTTGTCCCCATTGCCGTCTACAAAGTCATTGTCAATCCGGTACTTGCTTTGGATCGGCATCTCCCGCAGTAGTGCTGGGCCATACAAACTACGCTGGAGTTTTGGGAATTGACCATGTATATTCTTTATTCGCTCACAATTATAGCGATAGAAAGGGTGCAGAGAATCCACCTCACGCACAGTCTAAGCCTGGAAATTCACATTACAGGCAACAAGGCCGTCAAAAGATATTTCGCCCCAAATCCTGATATCGGGTCGAAGTAAGTTCATGCATAAGAACTGTGAATCTGATGACAGGAATTGAACCCCGCTCTGAGAAAGCTCCACATAATCGGAGATGCTGCGAGAATTCCTGGAGGAAGTCCAGAGACTTTTTAGATCGCAGAATTGGGTTACTTGCTAAAAACACAGTTTGCAACTGCCAAACGCCATTAGCCTCTCCAGCTGCAAACAACGCAACCTTCTGTCTGAGATTCCAGCCATCTTTGGTGGGCTTGCAAAGCAGTCTCAAAGCTGTCAAAAACTAGCAGCCTCCGAATTGGCTTTCATGTTCGAAGCTGTATTGTCCTGTGCACATCAGATGGCGAACTGCTACAGATGATGATACGTTGTTCTCTTTGGTGTGGTAATGGATATTGCAACTGATGTTAATGAGTGCTCTAATTAATTAGAATCATTAGTTGCGATCAGATTCACTCCAGCAGGAGGTTGCCATAACCAAACCATGCGTTTCTCAACACACGAATAGTGTGCCTCAGTCAAGACGGACCAAATCAATAGGGAATTATGATGATCCAGAAGCGCCATCCTGCACTCCTCATCCTCAGCTGGGCCACTTCCACAACAGTAGGAGCCAAGCACACCTTACAGCAGCCTAGTGCACCACCTCCACTCTCACCCTTAACGCCATCCTCGACCAATGTTTCTACAACTGAAGAAAATCTTAAAGTATTACAAGTCCCACAGCCAGGAACCGTCATCAAGGCGCTTGCCATGATGAACCTGTGACTATATTTCTGATTCAGGCACCTCCTGTACCCAGATCACTGAGCTAGCTTGACGTTTAATGCACGGAAGGAGTGGCAGTCCAATTCAAGACAACAGTTATGTGGTTCCCTCTCTAGCAACATCAACTCCCAGGTCGACACGACAAAACTCGCATGCAAAAGTTTGTGCAGGTGTTGACGGAGATCAAATAGACGTTGATGCAAAATGTGATGCAGATTTTACCTCAGGATTGGAGCCACGTGATGTAGGGACTTTTGAAGCAGAAAAAAGCAAGCCTGGACATCTGCAATTACAGTGTGCGAATCCTGGAATGCCAGCTGCATTCCCGCTTCCAGCTTAAATCCAGACACCTAGTTAGAACTAATTTCAAACCCTGCCAATATGCCAGATATGGGACCATCCGAATGCTCCAAAATTATTGCAACCAGATGATAAAATCTTAAATCACTTGGGAGCCTCCATATCCTGCTTTTCCTTGTACCTCCGTTCTCTTTCTGATCTGGGCCTATCCATGCGAGATCAAGAAAATTGTTGTAATTTGTTGAGAATATGCCCGATGATTCCGAAAATCTTTTCTTCAGAACCGTTAATTAATCGCTGCAGAAGCTGCCAAATAAAGGAGGGGTAGACATGGCAACCTAGGAGGTATGAGGTGGACAGTACAAACCACGACATGAGACTAACTCTAATGCCACCCATTCTCCATTGTTTTTTCGAAATATTAAGAAATATAGAAACAGGTTGCAAGCTTCACACAAACATATACATATATATATATATATATATATGTCCCCATGCGTAGGTCACACTGTGAGGCACCCTGCTTAAGCACGGCACTCCCCACGCCTTATAGACGGCAACCAACATAGCTGAATCATCTGGTTTAGTCGAGAGACCTAATTCCTGTCCGTGAGGGTTTTATTAATACTAAAACAAGGCCAGTCAACAGATTTCAGAAAATGGTGTCAAAGGTTCTTTTGCACAAAGACCAGTTAGAAAATGAGGGCCACGAGAGTTAAATGCAAGACTCAACCAACAACTAGAAATTATAACAACAAGCATTATGCAGAGCTTTCCTGTCCCTCATGCGGGGAGCAGAAATGGAACCAGGGCACCAATCACAAATGGCATCTACAAGATCGACTGGTTAGAGATGCCGATACATGGGTCGTGAAAATCCATTTAGTGGAAGAAGAGTGAGAACTCCGCATGAAGTGTTTTGCATACCGCAAAGACCATGGAGACTTGCTACAGACAATGCTGTTGCCAATAAAATTTAATTAATTTTTTTAAAAAAAAACACAGCATTGTCTGTAGCGGGATGCTCTACTTGTGTGCGACCCACATTCTGCTGCGAAATTAGTTCATAACGCTCTTGCTGCTCATCCAAGTCTGCCTGTTTCGAACACAATTTAAACTTTTAAACTCCAATAAAAAAAAAAAAAATAGCCTTCGCCAATGAACCAAGAACAGAAACCCGGTATTGCCCTTCATTATCACCCAAAACCTTCTAAATCACTCTGGGACATAAAATATGTGAAGAGATGGACTATAAAACCGTTGCAACGCAACAGGGACGGAGGTAAATATGACAAAACTATATATATATATATATATATATATATATATTTCACAACCACATCAGAAAGACTAACTACAACTGCAACGAACTTTTACAAAAACTCATTGTCAACAAAATCAAACAAACCAAGAGCGTAATAACCGAGGACTGTTTCCATCACACAGCACAAATCGTGGCCTGTCTTCAAACTTGCAGAATTTCCTGAAGAATATCTCGTTAGGCTCACAAAAGTGAGATCTTTTTTTCTTTAAGTAAGGCTTAATTCGAAGGCTTCGATGACCCACAATCCCAACTTCGAAGCTTTACAAGCAATTTTACTACAGCGTCGCCGGACGTAAATCCAGTTTGCTTTTCACACTTTAAGGCTGGTTTTAGGCTTCGTTTAATTCTTTTAAAACTTTAAAGAAGTCCCCTGTGTTCCAAATTAATTCCCATAAGCTTCATTAATTAATTTGATTATTTAGTTATGTCACCTTTTGAATGATAATGGGAATAGTGCTGATTATAGTGTCAAATGAGAGACACAAATTTTTAAGAAGATGCGAACTTTCTATTGTGGTTACACCATGTTTGTTACAAAATATTATACTTTTTTCTTGAGTTTTTGGGTTTTCATTATAAAAATAAAGTTAAAATAATAGGAATGATAATAAATATTATTACAATTCTATTTTTCACTGCACAAAAATTATTAAGAAGTCTTTGTTTTAAATTGGTATTCATAACTTTGTGGTTTATTAAGATGTTACTGTCATATACAATAGCTTTAATACATATTCACTAGTCATTAAATGAATCAGTACTTTGAATTACGATTCAAAATTTATGAACTGTACAATTAACTCTATCAATGTAAATAAAAATATATATAAGATAGAAATAAACTTTATGTACAACTATTACTTCAAAATAAATAAATAAATAAAGTAAAGATATATAAAACATGCATACAAATTTTGGTTGTGGTAAATACATTGTAAGAAAACACTGTAAGATCAAAAAAAAATATTGAATAAAAATTCACATATTAAAAATTACCAAGATAAACTACAACAAAAACTATTATATTATAAGATAACAAACTAATCTTTAATTTTGCATGAAGGTGTGGATAAAAATATTGTTTCAGAATATAATTTGGTCAATATTAAATTGAAGAATTTAAAATAAATAACATGTTTATTTGAACAACTTATTGAACAGATTACATTTTGATTTAAGTTGTGCCATGTTTATTTGCAAGTATGTTTTTCTCAACTATGTTTATGTTTAAGAAAATATTTATTGTTGATGAAATTTGCAAAAAATTTAAGCATGCATTTTTTAATCTCTTTGTTGATGCAAAGGTCAATATCTTTATCACATTAAAATCAAGAAGACTCCTTCTATTAATCTTTTCATATTTCTAAAAATAGATTAATTATTCTAGTCTTTTTGATTAGTTTTTGGATAAAGAATTGTTATCATTATTTGTTATGATACAAATCAAACTACTTGATATTTTACATTTCAATGATTTGTTTTGATAATTCTACTTGTATAAAATAAATTCAATTACATGATTTATGATATCAATTTTGAATGTATAAATCAGAAAATTCAAAATAAAAGATAATAAAAATCATAATTCAAATTGTTACACATAACTAAATATTTACATATGTTAATAAATGATATTAGACTGTCAATTGTATTTATTTATTAAGTATGTATTGAAAATTTTAACTTCTAAATGCTTTAAATTTCACGAAATCACTCCATAAGCATTCTCAAGACAAACTCCTTCATTAAATGTGACATCACTTCGTTTCCTACCAAACCATTCTTTTGATCTAATTTGTGCTCCTTTAGTATTCAAATCTTGTTTCCATCCAATTTCTTGATTTTCAGTCATAGGTTTTTGAAATTCCTTAGTGGGACCCATTTCTTTGCGAGAATGTTTTATTAAATTATTTTGCATCTACAAGTCAATAAATAAATTATAGTTAATTTGTGCATAACTATAATTACACAACTAGATGCTTTATATTAAAAAAATTATGTGTTACGAGGATTTCAACAGCTGAATTATAATATAGTGAAACAGACTAAATGAAGAAACTGAAAATAAAGATTATTATGTCATAGAATCCATTTCAGATTAGTATGAGTTGCAAATATCTTAAAATTTTAGTTTAAGAAAAATAAAAACAAAAAAACAAAAAAAAAAAATTACATTTGCAAAAGAATTTTCAAGTGGTAATGGAGCCAGTGCTTTTCCTGCAATTTTCATGTCATCAAGGGAGCTCATATCCTTGTAAAATATGTTTGTATGTGCTCATATTTATTATATCAAATTATTATGTGCTGAAGTTCAATATTTGACGTTTCAATAAGAGCCTCACATCTAATACCATGCACAATTGTGCCTTTTTGAATCAATCACCTTGACTTATTCAAAAAAGTGATAAAAATGCAAAGAGTCTATTTTAAAATTCTTATCGAAGTTCTCTGTAGCGTATCAACAACTCATAAAAATGTAATATTGCAACTGAACACAATTACGAAATAAAATAATTTGCTCCCCTTTTTTATATTTACACAAGTATTAATATTTTATAATGAAAGAAATGCAACATAATGTACCGTTTCCAACAAAAGATGAGTTAGGCTTTGCGCAGTTATTCTTTGCCATGTCTACAAACAAAAAAAAAATCACATTTACAAATTCAGGTCATATGTTTGTATATACACAATTACCCAAATCAAATTTTCACGATCACTAATTTAATTATTTGTTTAACTTGTTATCAATACATCAAGCACAAAAAAAATCTGTATGTTTCACTCTTCATAATACGCATATATATGTATATATAATGAACCATTGTATAACAAAATGAAATTAGATAGACTCTGTTCGCATTTTATCTGTAGCATATAACACTTTTACTTAGATTCCTGGCATTAACATAATTCTTCTCTTTGAGTGATAAGAAGAGTAATGTTACGTATTGCAACATATTTTGTTAAACCTTTGAAAAATGACAACTACAATCAATTGCTATATATATATATATATATATATATATATATATACTAAAAATTGATACAAAGACATAATAAAACTTACACTAATTTGTCTGTATGGGAAAAAATTGCTATTGAAAAGCAGCAGTGATAGCAATGGCTTACTGATCATGTGTTTTATTCCACATGTGAACTCGTTGATGTCAATTCTCCCTGGTCTGTGAGGGTTTCCAAAGTCTACAAACCTGCATCAATCACACCATGTTTTTTTTTTACCAAGAAAAGATTAAAATAAAATAAAAAAGCCGAAGAGGAAGATGAAGAAAAAAGCAAAATTACCGAAGAACAAACTGGAGCTCATACTCTTCCAACTCCCTCCCGATGGCAAGGGCGAAGATCTTCGGCAAATTGGCTCGCCTGCAGCAATCAGGGTTCCCATTTAGGGTTGCGATCTGGTTGAACGCCCTCCAGAAATTCTCCTCTGGAAACTCATGCACTTCTTTCGAGATTGGCTTCCGAGCATTGTGTTTCAGGTACTGATCGTCGCCCATCGACGTCATGCCGAAGAAAGTGCCTGGCATGTCCCGATCCTGCTTCGACATATACTCCTCCAACCCTCCTTCGTCGTCGCCCACGCCTTCCATGTTGCGCCACCCAGAGCCCTCTCGTCCTCGCGACTCTCAAATTCCGCAACCCTGCTCCAAATTCCTCGGGTCTGGCTTGTGCCCAACGCTCGGGAATAGCAGTCACCAAACCACACAGAACGCGTTCCAAGGCCAACACACACACACCGATCGTATCGTATTTTTGCTTCGAAATCACGGAATTAGGGCTTCAAGGTTAGTGGTGAGGACCCATATGGGATTCAAATGCTTCACGCGGAGTTCATGAAATCAAAGCCACAGGGTCTCGTCTATGGTATCATGGGGTGTCGATGATTTGACTTTGTTCCTTAGACTGCAGATCCCTCCCCTTCAACTCCTCCTCACAGAATCAGTGTGGGCCCATTCTTAGCCTAGTCCTATCATGGCTGTTAGAAAAACTTCTGAAAAAGAGACGAGGAAGATGAAGAAGCTCTTCACATGAGAAAGGCTGCAGCAACATCTGGGTCTCGGATCTCCAAGCCAAGCGTCGAAGAATGCAAGCTCCGTTACGTGCTGAAATCCACCCACACCATCCCATGACTTCTCCTCAAACCACCTTCTGACCTAATTTTTATGTTTATAATTACATTCATCCTCCGGCCACAGTTGTCCTCATTCGTTCGTCCACATTCTCCCATTCTCGTAGTCATTCATAAATTTTTAGGCTGATAGAAATGTTTCTGTAGTACGTTGTTCTGCGGCACAAAGGCAATGCATTCCAAGATTTTGTCTTTGCTGACGGATATGAACTGTATATATATATATATATGTAGTGTATTTCAACACACATCACACAGCTTGAGTACTTGCACAACCGTTATTATATACAACAATTGTGAATTCAGCATGCATTCAAGTTCAGAGAGGCTCAAAACTGAAGACAGTCTATTCAGCATCAGACAACATGGGTCGAAGTGAGACAGTGCAAGGAGGATATATATACACAACAAGACCAAGGACTAAAGAGCTCGGCATTCAGAAAGGTGGGCTCTCAGGTACACTGAACAATTGTTCTGGTATGCATTAAAGGGTCAAAAGACATTCAGGGAATATATACAATTATTGAATGCACACAAGACTGGTCCTGGTTTCCTGGCTGCCTGCTCATCTTCGCAACGAATACAATGTGCCGACGATTGGGCACACTTGGAATGGACTTGTTTGAGGGGGAACTCACTTGCCTCATTTGATTACTAGACCTGGGTTTAGGGGAAGAATCCTCATTCTCACCACTTCGACCTAGAAGTTCTCATCGAAAACCATGTCCTGCAGTATGGTTGGTTCAAACACACATCAGTATGGTGAGTGGATGCAGCGTCGCTTATGACTTCAGCACACGGATTCATACTGCACTAAGCCTATACCAACCCCCCCACTCCTCAATGGTTCGGTACACTGGGCAGAGTCAAAACACATCCCTGGACTCATCTCGTCTTTCAAGTTTCCAGAGCTAATATATATATATGTATATATATATATATAAACAACAACTGTCGCTACAGTACTGGACAGAGGAGGTGCACAAGACTATTAGGTGGTGGCTAAAATGATCATGTTAGGCAACCCCCTTGCCGTCAGAAGCATTCTGCACCCGAAGAATCAAACCACACATGATAAATTGCTCAAGCGAATACCTTGTCGCAAAGAGGGCAGTGATTGCTGCGCTCCATCCACTCGTAAATACAAGAAAGGTGGAAGTAGTGGCCACACTCAGTGGTTATCCTGGGATTCTCCACAGTGTACCCTGCAAATGAAACAAGCAATAAAATGACTTAAGGAAAAAATAAATAAGTAAATAAAATAAAATAACAAACCAAGCCCATTCTCACACATCGGCAGCTGCTGCAACATGAGCAACTGAAGAAACACTCTTACGAAAGCCAAGCATAACCGTAAAAGAGGGTGAGAGCAGTACCATCAAGACAAGTGGGGCAGACATCCTCATCGTCTAGCATAGAAAGGGCAGACTCAACCCTAGGAAAGGCTTTTGAAGAGAGAGAAGTCCTCTCTAGTTTCAATCCTTGAGTCTGCTCTTCAAGGTCCAACCCCCCGCTGTTGCCAAACCGTCTTTGCAAAGCTGTGCCACCCAGGCCTCCATCCGAGTTGCTGTGTCTCAAGGGTTGCCCTTCCCCTCCACTCATCTGGCTCATGCCACTTTTGTCTCGCCTGTAATTGAGACCATCACGGCCAATGGAGCGTAGGTACCGGGGATCGGAATCGTAAGGCAGAGGCGTTGGAGGTGCCTGAAAGACCTCGGGTATGGAAGTGTCTAAGCTGCTGCTGCCACCTACGGAACCTGCGCCGCTGGCTGAGGACACTTGACTGGGGAATATGTTCTCCTGGTGGTCTAACTCATCAAAATTTGTACTGTAATGCTGCTGCAGAGGGGGTCATCAACGCCGCCAACAAGCTTTAGAAATTCGAGGAATGATTGTAACAGAGATTTCAATGCTTCCAGCGACTCCAAGCTTAGATTAATGCTCATACTACGAGTGATACTTTCTGCTTCTCCGAAGCTAAACATTATAAAAAGATAAGTGGACCTCTACGTTAACAAACAGATGTATCAATACATGATAACCACCAGCTCGTAACCTAGAGACTGTTCATGCCTGTCTACGAACTGAAATATGATAATTCGAACATTTCAAAACACACGATATCCCACCAGAGAAGGTGGTGGTTACATTCCAGGACTTCAAAGAACAGATCCAGCGAAGAAGGCTAGAATACAGAATCATGATACCCTAAGGGGAAAACTATGGGACTGTAGCGAGACCTAAAATTCTCTGCTACTTCTTCGCTTTAACTGTTGGCTGATGTGTCTGTATTCCAAAATTCCAAAGGACGGAATTTCGGCTAGATACAGAGAAACCAATTTTAACTTGTTAGAAGCTGCAGTTCTACAAAGACTAGCAGACAATTGCACGGTATTGTCCCGCTTGTCCAAACAATGCCTGACGCAAACGATTGCAGCAAGCATGCTTATGTAAAAAGATATGGAAATACCTTCAGCTGTACTGCTGGAAGCTCCCTGCTGAAAGACCAAGGGAAAGTGGACACCCGAAAGACCACGACACGATCAGGCTTCCACAAACAAAAAAAAAAAGGATGAGGTGAGGCGGAGTACCGTGCTGAAAAACCAGCGCATGCAGCAACGGACGCAAGGGCATTCTCGTATGATGGTAGCGCTCTGGTAGGGCAGATAGTCCTCCAAGTGATCTGGACTAAGGCAGCAACACAGCGACCCCATAACTCTTTCTCGCCCTCACTCTCTCTCTTCCTCTCTCTCTCGCTATCCAACAAACACCTTCAAAGCCTCCCCGCAACCGAAACAAGCTCGTTACTTGAAATCAGTCTCACCATGCACTGCGCCCACTCCGCACCTCCGACTCCCCTAAACCATGCTTCTCTGGAGAATCCCTAAAACTACACCCCGAACAAGGCAAACCTTTACCCTCGGCTGCCTCACCCCGGACTAGGTACCCCAGTTGAGAGAATACGCATACTCCAGGACGAGGCAGATTGGTGTTCGCCACTTGCACAGATGCCTGCAGCAACCACCCATGCACATCTCAACCTTCAAACTATGAAGAAAGCTCTCTCTCTCTCTCTCTCTCGCTATCTCTCGCTAGCTAAATGCTTGCAATTCTAAGGCTAAAGCAACGCCGTAGCCTCTCGCGATCCTGGCAATCCTCACATCACACCCCCCAAGGACCTCAAATCCCTCCAAAATCTGTGCGTAACACTTTGGGCCCAAGGTTCCTTCCTCCGATTACTTAGCGTAATAAATGCGAGAATGCGAGAGCAGGGGGGATAAAATACCGCATCATCCGAGGCTGGGGCTTATCGATCAAATGCACCACATGAGGAGGAGGCTCTGGGTGTGCAACCAGCAAGACTGCTTTACGCTTGTAAGCATATGCGTCATTTGCTTCGCTTCGCCCTTAGGCAGATCATAACGACGGATCTAGACTAATGTATCTGCTATCGATGGCGAGATGAATTGTGGGTGATGAAGATTCATTTACCCTCTCTATTTGTGAGCGATGGAAGTTCTCGGTAAGACACTTACCGGCTATTTTCTGACTTGAAAAAAGTAAAACCCTGCTAGTGAAAAGCTGTGGAGACTCATTTAAAAAGGTACCCAAGAATCCAAATCTTCTCCTAAATTTAGTTTGTTCTAAATCTGAGCTTGAGGTTGTGGAATTGCCAAGTTTGAAGTGGGCTAATGGGTCAAGGCGTAGGGGCGAAGGGGATGCCAAACGAGCATTCAGAAACAGTATATGATGATTTTTGTGACGGATATCCCATTCCATTATTTCTGTGTAATATCTTCTGTAAGTCGTGTGTGTTGAGTTGATTTGCTACCAGGACGACGAGCTCTTTACTGTAATCTACAATGCTCCCCAACCTCCGACGACTTCAACATTGCATTTGGAAGTTGTTATCGCTCATTAAAATATCGATCTCAATCATGGTTCTTAATTCAAGGGAGAATTCAAAAGGATAACATTCCTGTATCATCCCTTTTTGGCCCATACATGATTATTAAAAATATATCAAAAAGAGATGCTTCCGAGATGAGAGGTACCGGTTCAAGTGCATAACATGTAAGGACTGTAACGACTGAAAACAGTTAATATGAGGAGTATTGGAAGCTGATGGGGGATGAATTTGCAGCGCAGAAATTTGTGAGTTTCGAGAATTGAGTAAGGTTATCCATTTCGCAGTGCCGAAGACCCCAATACCAAGTTCGAGTGAAATCAAGAGGACAAACGCTTCGGGTTGATTTGATACAAATTCGATTACAGCTAAGTGGTTAACAAAATGAGAAGCCATGGTCGGGTCTTCAGGGGGGGAATTATATCTGCGTTAACTAATCTAAGGGCAAACAAGTAAACCTCTCCTCCAAAGATACATATCGTACCCATCTCCGACGACGGGCAGATAAGCGTAGATACGTCCTGCCTCAGTTTGGTGGGGGGCTGCTGACAGTTGCGTAATATGGAACTGCTACACGATAGTTTTTTTCTCAGGCCAGACACACCCTTCTTAGAGAAAGAGGAAAAACAAAGAGTTGGGGATACGTGCACTGCCAATTGCTTACAGCCTCTAAAAAAATCGTCTTATCCTAATCCTAGTGGGTGGTCGTGGAATCTTCCCAGTGCCAATTAGGCCAGAAATCCCAGTTTCTCCCCGTTCTTCTTCGCAAGTCTGATCAGTCCTTGCTTTTGCTTAGAATCTGCACCTATGGTCTTGCAAAACTCTCCAATAACCTGCAGTAGACAGCAAAGACCTTCAATTAATTTGCACAACTTCTTCCCGAACTCATTCGGCATGTATCACGAGATCGTGAACCCCGAGGACGACTAAGAAGAACTAGGTCATGAAAGAACACACACAAAATATAAACACGAGCTCTAGAATGCAAAACCCAGAGATATCCCTCTCACTAACACAGCAGCAAAATCAAGTAAGGCATCAAATTCTCAATCCGTAAGGCATTTAAGACACGGTGCAAGAACTTGAGGAAGGTAAACATAAACATACCTGCGAATGCAATGCAATAGCCTTGCCGCGAAGTTGGTTAAACTCTTTCTTTCCTATGGCGTTTCTCGCTATTACTACGATCGGTGCAAACAACCCTTTGCCATCGTTTTTGTTCCCCATCGCCCTAGGCTGTGCCGGTCGCGGCAAGCTAGCAGATGATACTCTGTGCACCGGATAATACAGCTGCCTATTAGAGCCATCTCCACTCAAAGCAGAAGAAGACCAATTTACTCGAACAAGCTCTGCGGAAGGCATCGACGCTACGGCTAACCTAGCGATTGCCATCCTTCCCAGTCCAATAGTCCGCGTGCTCCACTCAAGCTCTTGAAACCACAACGGTGACCAAGTAATCCTGCAAACAGCTTGCGCAGTAGTGAAAGCCTGACCCGAGCAACCTGAGTGATTAGTTCTGAGCACCGATAGCTTAGGATTTCCACAGCAGGAGTTTTGAGATGTGGGGTGATTGTTCGAGAGACAGACTTGCCACCAGCTGACTCGTATTGTTCGCAAAAAATTCATTGCGTCATCTCCACCACACAAGTGCTTTAAGTGGTGAATGTACACGCCTGTCATGGGAGAGCCATCGGTAAATGGAGGGCTGGCGATGTACAGAACTTTCCTGAAAATCCAACTATAATTCTTCAAAGGCAATATCGACGGCGCACAGTCGAACTGCTCTAGTACCATCCTGGACACTTTCGATCCTGACCATAGAAACCAAGATCTTAAAAGGAATTCGGGATCCCCCGAGCGAATGTGTCGTGCAGGGAATGCAGCAAATTGCGGCCTCAACTTGGCTCGAGGTGTTCCAGTGAAATAGAAGCCAATCGTTGCTTGTGCGATTTCTTGCGTCCGGGTTCAGGCCTTGCCACTTGGAACCTGCCAGATTCAACGCTCGATGACGGATGTCTGGACGATAGAAATTTCAATAATATATTGCCCGTGAAAAAAAAAACGGGGGGAGGAATATGGAAGCCTTGAGAGTCCCTAATTCACTCGCTACAAAGGTGAGGCTGATACCTGAACCGGTAGACTATCGAAAGCAGAGATTCAGAAAAATCATCCACAAAAACAATCGCTGTCGAAAAGATGACCTGATCACCCATCTCTGGTAGAGAATGGAAAGAGCATCCGTAAAATACGTTTTTAAACACTCCAGGAGCGTATTAAACTAAACCGTCAATTCCGAGAGGCTCACATATACGTATCCTTGCCTCTACCCAATCCTGATACAATTTGCATGAATAGGAGTCACCTCCAAGTTTAGGGTAGGGGTGCCAATTCCCGTAGATGTACAAATTACCACCGAATATTTACAAAGGAGTCATTTTGTAAACAAAATCCATACCTCATGCAGAGCTTCTGAATTTCAGTAATTGAACGAGATTTAGCACGTCCACCTTACCATCTAGTTCAGCTCTTACAACTAAACAGGCGTGTACGACATAAACTGTTCTACATAACCATCTACTTCTGCAACATTCGATCAAAGTCTGACGAATGCCCAACGGCCTTCGTTTCAAAGAAGTCCTGGCTTCCAAAGATAACACTGTACACTGCTGTGCTGATCCTCAAATTAGTTCTCGGGTCATTAAATTTCGTGGATATCCTGGATTCTCTCAAAATGAAAAATCGTTCTGATTCAGGACCCTGGCGTGAGACCATTGAGGAACTTATGCCCTCTAAGAGACGGAGGAAGGAAATCAGCAGGTGGCTCAGCTGGCTGGCGACCATACCCAAGCTCCTTCATAAGATGCGTGGGAGCATTTCTCAAATGCATAGGAACAGGTTCATTTTGCTTGGTTCCTTTCACCAGCCGCTGCGCTGCCTCAATGGCATGGTATACCATAACAGATTTTGGCGCGAGTGCAAGATAAGCCACGCACTGTGCCAAATTCACGTTGCATTCCGGCATGCCTGTGAAATGACAAGCTTGGTAACAAGCAACGGCTTGAACAAGTGCCTGGGGGTCCGCCAGGCCGACGTCCTCACTGGCAAAACGGATCAATCGGCGGGCTATGTACAAGGGGCCCTCTCCTCCTTCAAGCATCCGTGCAAGCCAATAAATTGCTGCATCCGGATCTCCACCTCTCATTGACTTGTGAAGTGCACTAATGATATTGTAGTGTTCTTCACCCGTTTTATCGTACAGAACATGTGACCGTTGAAGGGCCTCTTGCACCTGGCAAATTGTAAGAAATTTACTATTGGAGATTATTCCGCAGATGGAGAAAATATGGTTTGAGTGATTTGCGAGTAAAGAGTGCTTATTAATTCAATCCCAATAAAACAGTGAATTTAAAGATGTGGGTATAAATAAACAGGATTGAAGACTAGATGAAAGAAGGGCTAGCGTCACTTACTTGTTGAAGAGTCACCACTATATTTCTCCTTTCTATTTTAATCTCAGCACCTATTCCAACACTTCCACCGACCTCCCCAGTGGTGTCGTACATGGTGCCTCCTGTCCTCTCTATTTTCTCGGAGCTGAAGGAATTACTACCATTCCTCTCCAGGCCCGCAGGATCCCGTTCTGCCTCTACACTCGGTGAACGTTCTTTCACTTCTTTGACCCCTTTCACCACCTCTTTGCCCCCTACAAACCTCTTAAATGGCTTCGTGTAATCGTCGAGAGAATTAGGGGAATTTTCCTTCTTCAAAGTTTCCTTAAGTATTTCAATCCGTTTTGTTCCAAAACTGGTTCCAGATATGTCCAGCTTCAGGTTTGTGGCAGGAACCAACATCAAAGTTGATGTTGACTCTTGTTTTGAAAGCTCTGCATGTCCGTCTTTTTCAACGTCAGTTTTCAGATTAGTATCAACACGCACGCTAATAACAGCCTTATCATCTGCACTAGATTTTCGAGGAGTGCTCTCCCAAACTCGATAAGCAGCTAATCCGGCTATTTCTAAAGAGTTCAAGGCAACGCGAGCATCGCCATCGGCGGCTCCCGTCAGAAACTGTAGAGCATCCTCCTCAACCCTGACAACGTCCTCGGGAGCACATCCAACTAAAGACAACAAAAGGCCCTTTTCTTTGTCATAAATTGCTCTGTCCAGCAGACTTCGTATATGCTCAGGCTGCAACTTATTGAGAGTTAGTACTCGGCATCGAGACAACAGCGCAGCATTGATCTCGAAGGAAGGGTTTTCTGTGGTTGCTCCTATAAACACTATATGACCAGCCTCCACGTAAGGAAGAAATGCATCCTGCTGAGATTTGTTGAACCTGGGTACAGATTACACTCAGCAAAATTAGAACTACTTGGTAAAACATACCATCGTAGTTGAAACTAATTAAGAGAAGATGTAAATCCGAAGGGGGAGAGGGGGAGCAGAAAATAAATGCACAGAAAATCTGAACTAACCTATGTATCTCGTCAAGAAACAAGAGAGTGCGTTCCCCAAATTTCCGAACCCTCTTGGCCTCTTCCAAAATCTCTCGCACCTCCTTCAACCCACAGGATACTGCTGAGAGGGCAATGAATCTGTACGATACAGCGCGTGCGATGGCTCGCACAAGCGAAGTTTTCCCAGTACCAGGAGGTCCCCAGAAAATGATGGACGAGAGAGTATTGTTATCAATCAAACTGCGCAGTATACAACCTGGTCTTAGTAAGTGGTCCTGGCCCACTACGAGATCCACTGAAGCAGGCCGCATTCGCTCTGCGAGGGGTGCCAAGCTTTTCCTACTACCAACGGAAGTCTTTGTACCAAAAATTGGTGCAGGAGTGGACTGAACCCGAGGAAAAACTGAAACAGGGGCGTCATCTTGCTGCTCAACAGGCTCATTCGGTTTTTGCCTCTTGCTTAAAGAGGGTTCCAGGACTGGTGGGTGAGAATGGACTGAACACTTCAGAGTGGTAGAAGCCACAGTTTCATTTCCGTCTGCAGGCCGAGGTTTACTTGTAGCAGGAGGAGTAAAGCCAGAATGTTCTCTGCCACTCTGGGACACAAAAGTAACACGGAAGAGCCACAATTACCCACAAGCACTGATTTAAAAAACCAAGCATGGAAGGGCTCCAGATCCAAACGACGGATGCACCATAAATTACCTGATTCCCAAGTGCTTGAATGCCATTTCGGAACATGCTTAAACGAAAATCTTCCTCTTGAGTTTTCCCAGTTGAGGGAGATGCCATAAACCCCTTCTTCTCAAAGTCAGCCGCACTCTCAATGACAGGGGATGGAGATACACTTGACGAAGGTCTAGTTCTCCAATGTACATTGCTTTCTTCCTCTGACTGGAACATAAAATTAGAGCTACCTGCCCCTAACTGATGAACCACCCTCCTACCGGAACTAGATGCAAAATACTGGTCGACACGCCCCTGCATCTACATAATTCCAACATACAAGCTCTTATAAGACGCAAAATACAATAGTGGTCTCAAGTTCCTTTACTGCTTGGGACAAGTCTGAATTAGATGCCCGTGCAGACGTTAATTATTCTCAGTTAATCATGTTCAATCAGTTCAAAATAAAAGCCACTTAACTAGTTGGCATATCCAGGTGGGGTTACAGCTTGTAACGATCCACTCTCTGCTATGCTGCTGTGTACATTCTTCACTTTGTCCACCATTTCTAAGAAGGAAGGTAAGGCATGGTTTCAAAGTAGCGCTCAATGAATGAATCTGAAAGGTGTAACTGAAGCCACACCTGTGGGAGTTGATGTTTCGGAATGGAAGAATTTCTAGAATCCATCTGACCAAGGATCCACTCTGTTGCAGTCAGAGTAGATTTTCCTCCCGTCGCTGCTAATGCCTGCACGGCAATACCCAAACAAAGAGAGATGAGCTTGATTATGGATCCAAACATGCGTCGCCACTATGAAGAAATCCAAACGCCATTCACCTGTGCTACCAACTGAAAAAATGGATATAAACTGGGCCGATCAGCCAGCTTACGCCATACTTTAGCTGCCAGGTCCTGCGGAAATCCCATATCCACGAGCTGCTCCATTGCAATTTAACCCTCTACCGAAAGCGCATGATTTCCCCTGTTGGGGAAGCATGTATCCCTCTTCTCCCAGACTCATACACTCCCAACGGAAACACATGACCTCCTCCGAAAAAAAGTTACTCCCATTCTTCCACCTTAAAACCCCCACAGCGCAACATTCAGCGTCCTCTCACGTACAGGAAACAAAACCTCCAAATCCAAACGCTTCCTCCCTTAACCCTAAAACCCAAGTATCGTCTTCCTTCCACCGTCAAATCCCAGCAATTCCACCCACGTACGACCAGGATCACACCCACAACAACACCTATCGATATAATTCTTCGAAAAACAACAAATGCTCCACCCCAAGTAGGAAAAAACAATCACCAGGCAATCCCCACAATTACTGTCTACGCTGTGTAACTCCACCACCAATCTCTCCCAACTACAATTGCCGACAGATTGATTCCCCTGCAGCATGAAACGGTAACCAGTGTTGCAGCACAAGTGGCGCAACCCCTAACAGACGAACTTACGACGTGCGCGGCGAGATGCTCATGAGCAACAACAACGAACAACAACAACTGCGGGAAAAGTAGTAGTGCAAGTGTGAGTGAGCTCCAGGATTCCGTTATAAATGGGCAAAAGCCCCTCTTCCCTGAAAAGACGCATCCGAGGGAATAAAGACCAGGGCCGGATTTCTTTCCACACCCCGTCTTTTTCTCCCCCCCGCCATTTCCTTTCCGCGACCCAGTTATTTCTTTCCGCGTTCTCGTTATTTCTTTCCACTTCGTTCCCGGCGCCGCGCGGTTCTAATGACTGTTCCCATTCTTGTTCGTATCTGCTCCCATGGGATTGGGGACGTTCGCAACTATGTTCCCACGTTTCCCTGATTAGATCTTTTTCTAATTTTGAATTGGAATAATTTCCCACTTATAAATTGTATTGTGTTCCATTCCGTAGGGTAACGATGATGTCCAACCAAGGCTAACGTTAATTATGTTAAATAAAATCTTGAAACATGTTAACTAATTCAAATTCGAATTGGTTTTTTTAGTTATTATTGTTATTATTTTATTGCTTACTTTGATGACTAGTAGCTTTGTATATACCATCCCAACTTCTTGCATTGTTTTATAATATCTAATCCTTAATTCTATTCTAAAATTCCTTCGGGAATGAACAAATTTAGAAAAATATGAACACTGTGTTTTGAAACTCGTAGCTCCTAATATTAATTGGCGAATTTGTTTAAGTGATGCATTATCACATGTTGAAGTGTTACTCAAGAAGTTTAATTGTGTCAAAAATATTCATATCTCAAACGTTTTGAATTAATAGAAAAATTAGTAATATGTCAAAGTTCATTTGTGTGTGTATATATATATATATATATATATAAATTAAAGTAATTTATCTCATTTTTTTTCAATATCAATAATTTAAATCAATGAGATAAATCAAAGGAGACAAATTAGCCCTTTGATTGGCAGCCCTAATAAGCAGGTACACAATGCAGCAAACTAGTTGCTATTAGAGAGGGGGTCTTGTAATAAAGTACACAGCAATGAAGCTTTTTTCCATTCTCTCTCTTGGTGATTTTGTTTACAATGTGTATATTAATTATAATGTTTTCCTTACTCCGACTCTTTATGGCTTTGTAACTTGCACTTTGTTGATTTTTAGGCAAGTGTTGATTTGTGGGCAACAACCATCTCTATACAAAACTTTATATAAAACACATGATTAAATGACTTAGCACAATCTTTGCTTTCTTATGGTTAAACTTTAGGAGTAGTTCCTTGAACAAAATTAATTATTTTTTTTGCATAATTTCCATGACAATGGCATGGGTTCATCTATATGACAATCTATATAATTAGAAAGCTTAGGTATAAGCTTCATTGCTGTGTACTTTATTACATAGAGCAAAGAAGCCTTCTCATTGGCAAAAATCAAAGAAAGTTTTATCCTACAAAAAAACCTTGCACAACTTGCACAAAGACTTCCAATGTACTATTTTAAAATGATTTTGTTATGCCCAATGACATGGGTTTTTGCTTATATATATATATATATATATGTACCATGGGTTCTTATTAGAATAACATTTAAATAATAATAGGTTCAACAACAAAATTTGCATGATTTAATTAACAGTATGTACATTTACATTAATTACATGGATAGTTAGTGCTTGTTCTTAAATGCTTTAGTCATGATTCAAGTAATTAATAAAAAGAAACCCTCTAAAAGGATTTTTTTTTAAGGAAGAAATCTGTTAACAGTTTATTCATGTAAAAAAATATTTATAGTTTTATGAAGAAGATACTTATCTTAACCTTTGAAGGAAAAACCAGATTAAAAAATATATACATAATTCATCAAAAAAAAAATTTCAAAAAAAATAATATGTTAAAATTCAAGAAATTAAAAATAAATTTGTGAAGAACAGATGCCACTTGGCACTGGATTGTTCACGAATTTCACCAAATTTTCGTCAATTTTCGTTCAGATTGTGACGAAAAACGTTGGAAGTGACGATGAAACGTTGACGAGGGTGGCCATCGACCGGGAGCGACTGGAAATCGCAGGTTTCCGGTCATCGGTGGGAATGCACTAAACCCCGGAGCCCCTAAGCCCTAATTGCCAAACCTCGAGCTCTCGTGATTTCTCTCGTCGCTGCAACGATGGGTGGGAAGGAGGAGGATCGTGATCCAGAGATGGCAGAAAGTTCCGACGAGGAAATTGCAGAGGCGAGCGCTGATCCTGCTCCCGTGAAGAGCCTTACAGCGCCTGATGGCGGCGTCTGGTTTGTGCTCGAGAAAGCGTCTTTGGAGGTCGCCAAAGTGGGAAAGGTGCAGCAGAATCGAAGAGCTCACTGAGAGGGTCATTTTGGGTTTGCTTGCAATTGAGTTGGAATAACATGGGGGATGATTTGTGCGATGAAGAGTATGCTGTCTGGGTTTTGGGTTTTATGATCACTGTAGGGCTCTAAGCAACAGGTCGGCGACCTCAGGGTTTAGGTTGACGGTTTTGAATTGCTAAGTTTGTTGTGTAGCTGTGATTTTTGAAACCTTGACCTGAATGCAACTCAGGACGACTTAAGAAAGTGCAATCGTTTCGTTGGGTTGTGTACTATGCGTGGTGGAGTGTGAAGCATGATTTCTGAGTCGTGTCGAGTAGTTTTTGTTTTTTCTGGCTTTGTCTTCAGTCACAGTGCTCTGCTTCATATTATGGTCATACTGTAGGGTTGCTAACTAGGTGATGCAGAACCTGCTTAGTATTAAGTCAATATTTTCTGGTGCTCGTGTGAGCACGTAGTTTATCCGTTTCCGCAAATCGTGCTTACCAACATTAGACTCACCTCTGGTAAATAGCAATAGTAGAGAAATTTAATGTATTGTTTATTGGTTTACTACAATTTGCTCAACTTGGAGGTATTTGTGCTTATCTAGCCTCGCTTGTGCATGCATATGTGCAGAATTATCAGCTGCTTAACTGTGACGACCATGCTAATTTTTTGCGCAAACATAAACGAGATCCTGCACAGTACCGCCCCGATATTTTACACCAGGTTCTTTTGCTGCAATTGTTATGTTTGATTTCCCCGTATCAGCTACGTCATTTTCCATTCAGCTTATAGAATACGTGTCATTTAATTCTTGCGCTGTCCTTCGTTATGACCAGATAGGTCACATTTGATACTAGTCTTGACTCTTGATCGCTTTTGAATAGGCGTTGCTGGCAATTCTTGATAGTCCGATGAACAAGGCTGGAAAGTTGAAAGGACTCTATGTACATACAGAGAAGAATGTGCTCATTCAGATCAATCCACACATTCGCATACCAAGAACTTTTAAGAGATTTTGCGGACTGATGGGTTAGTGCCAAGTTCTTCATTCTATTTTACAAATACGGTGTCTTCAGAAGTCTCCGCAGGCAGCTTGATTGTTCCAGTTCGTGCATGTTGAAGTTGCTGGGCCTAATGAGCAGTTTACATATTATGGCATTCGTATTATATGACGATTTGTGCAGCATCACTTGATTTTTCAAAGACCTTCGTAACCACAGTTCTTTGCTTGTTTATTACAGTGCAACTGCTTCAAAAACTTGTTATCCGAGCTACTAATGGGCCTGATAAGTTGATGAAAGTTGTAAAGCAACCTGTAACTCGACATTTGCCCATTGGTGCCCGGCGGATAGGTATGCTACTTAATTCGTTAACAATCTCACTGGGATGTTACATACAGCTCTTTAAGATATGCGTCATTTTTGAAAGTTTCCTTTTGTGCAGATTGATTCCGTGCACATTGCAGTTGACTTATTGGTTTTTATTGATCGTGGAACAGGAATGTCATACAGTGCTCCTAAAGTTGTACAATTGAAAGATTACATTTTGACTACCAAAGAAGATACTCCTCTCGTCTTTGTGGTGAGTTTGGGTTTCCGCTCCTATCACCACCAGATTTGGGATCGAGTTTTGTAATTTCCTGTTTGTTATGCATTGATCAGATGCATTTCTGTACACTTTCTGTGTTTCTTTTCTGGGGTACAAATGTAGGTGCTGCCTTTGACATTTTAATTGTCTGTGAATGTAGGTGGGGGCAATGTCTCATGGGAAGATTGAAGTGGATTATATAGATGATCTTGTCGCAGTGTCAGCTTACCCTCTCAGTGCGATGTGGGCCATCGCACGTATTTGCAACGCACTAGAGACGCAGTGGAATATCGTATAACAGTGCACCTGTACAAGCACACTGGTAGTTATAGCTTTTAGGTTTTTTTTGAAAGGAAAATGGAGTGACTGTAATTCTCGTTTACTGTCTCAAGTGAAATCTAGATATTCTCTGGATGGTTTTAATTATATTTGTTTATGAGATCTCGTCCTATGTGAGGCTTGCTTTTCTCTGCTCTAGTGGTACTCAAATTCTAGACCAACAAAGTGATTTGCTGGGGTATTTGTAACCCGATGACTACCACACTGTTGATGCAGACAGTAATCCTTGGGGTGTAATTGCCACATGTTAAAACCCAATGGAGAACATCTGGAAACGTCTGAATATCAAGATTTCCGCCAGGAAGTCTTTCAAAATCCTCAATTTTTGTCTGGAACATTTGTATTCTTGCAGAAAGAGTTTCTAACAACATCGTCACAACATCCCATTCAAATTATTTCTAAATTAACAACCGTTAATTTAATAGACCATGTGGTTTATACTTTTTTTTTAACACAAATTAACAACCACATTTTATGTTACAATATATGTGAATACTATAGTTTTTAAATACTTATAACAAAAATATTTTATTTATTAAGTTTCTCGCAAAAACCACACGTGGCAGACACGTAGGCAAACAACCAACATAGCTGACATGGCAGACACGTAGGCAGGGAGCGATGTGCGGAAAGAGAAGGCGTCGCTGTGGATGCGGCCCTTCTTCCTTTGGTGCTGCGGATGCGGCGTCACCCAATCCACAACCCCACTCACTCACTGTTCCCAATTCCTTCGCTCGCAATCCCATCCTTCACTCACTTCACTCACATTGTTGTTGTTGCTGCTTCTGCCCATCTTACAATTGCAGCGCAACGGGGTTTAGCCGCACTTGGGTGCACAGTGTTGGGGTTGGTTGCAGAGTGTGTTGGGGCAGCATTGGAGCGTGAAATTTGTCGCACTTCAGGTTTGCAAACTGAGATAGCCTGCGCGATGGCGAATGCGGTGCTGGTGAAGCCCACTGTGACGGCCGCTATGCCGTGCAGAGCTTTGAACGTGCACCACCAGCTGCAGAGCAGCAGCAGCAGCAGTTGCACCCTCTTTGTGCCTGCCACTGCGAGAAGGGCGTCCGTGTAAGAGCCGATCGTTTTGTCTCTTGCTGGAGGTTGAGAGTGGTGGTGCGGTTGCGGTGGTTGGGCTTTGAGGGGCCCAAGTTTGTTGTTGGGTGATTTTGGAGCTTCTGGTTTTGGGATTTGGATTTAGAGGGCGGTGTTGGGTACACTTTGGTATTGGGAATCTCGAGGTTTATGCACGGTTGGGAGAGTGAATTTCATGGGATTGGGAAAGTGACTGTTTCTAGGGTCTGTGTTTGAATTTCGTGCGCCGCAGCAAGGGACTTGTGGCGCGGGCAGCTATCAACTCGAGTGGTTTCTGGACGCCTGAGGCTTCTGTTCCCAATTACGACTTCTGGTCTATCAGGTAAATGTGGGGCTTTTCAACCTTAACGTATTTTTCAGAACACAAAGCTTGGTGGGTTCTCATGTAGGACTCAGAAGAAGATGCTTTGGGAAATCATGTGGTTTTACAGCACCATGTCAATGTCCATCCGGGATTGTGTTGATTGTGCGGTGTTTATCATTTACATTTGTCGTGTGAGTTATGTTTTACAACCTGAATAAGGAATTGTGTTTTTACTTGTGCAGGAATGATTTAGAGGTACCATCTTCAGGATTTCTTGGGGAGGGTGCCAGAGCTCAGGGTGGGCAGGGCCCCCCTCCCATGCTTGCCGAAAGATTTCAGAGCGTCATAACTCAGCTTTTTCAGCAGGTTCAGTTTCCTTACTGTGAATTCTTACTACCCTGTCTTAGCGGGGTCTTGTAGGAACGGAAATCATAAATTTCACTCGAACTACCAAGTACAAGTATTGAGTTAGTCGATGGTTTAGATGGTTGCCTCGGAGGTCCAACTGTAGCTTTGATTAAAAAGGAGTTTTTCTTCGATTGAAAAACAGCGGATTATTCGATGTGGAGGTGCCGTGGACGATGATATGGCGAACTTGATCGTCGCTCAACTGCTATACCTGGATGCTGCTGACCCGAACAGAGTATGTTTCCAAAAACTTTCTTCTTCAAACTGCTTCAGTGTTCATTGTGGGTTCCGTTATAAGATTTTTGGGCACAACATCTCTTATTTTGAGACTGCTCCTATTTGGCTATGGTTCCATTATTATCTGAGGAAATTTGTAGTTATGTAGTTTTTAGAGAAAGGTAGTAGTTCTTGCGAGACTGGTTTGACCTATGTTGCTAATTAATCATGGATTTCTTTTTATTTGTTTCTGTGTTTTTGGCAGGATATTGTCATGTACGTCAACTCACCTGGAGGTTCTGTGACAGCAGGTGGAGTATAATTTGTCAAAACCTATTTTCTCTTCTCCGCGCTAGTTCTGAGTGTACTGCAGTAATTGATGCGATCAACATGGGCTTTTATTTCACTTTTTTGTAATATGTCATGTGTTTATCTTATACTTTATTGTAATTATTTTTGACAGGAATGGCTATTTTTGACACCATGAGACACATTCGGCCGGATGTCAGCACAGTTTGTGTTGGACTTGCTGCTAGGTAAGGGTTCCGTTTTTCATATTCAAGCACTTGATGTCAAATCAGATGTGATCGCTCTATATAAATCTTTTTCATTGAGTTTTACGCTATGCAATATTATGTACTCTTGTTGCTAAAACCTGCTAAGACACACTGCTACATATAATTTATTATATTATCAGTTCGGAGCCTAAAGCGTTTAATGTTACTAAGACGTAGCTGAGAAATATTCTTGTACAGAAGGTGGTTTGAGGTAAATAAGGATTTTAATCTTCTTTTAGGTCAGCTCCCCCATGGCTAGCTGGAGGCAATCAATGTAGAAAAGGTGGAAAATGCTACGCGTATTTTTTATGCTTGGTAAGAAACCACCGTGAGAAACATGAATTGTAGAGTACTAAATTTATCTGTTCTTTGTCGATGTTCTGCAGCATGGGAGCTTTTCTTCTTAGTGGTGGTACTAAAGGTTTGTTCGCACGCTTACCTGTTTATTCTGTTATACTAGTGATCTTAGTTCTGATGTGTATCATTTACAATGCTTATTTAATCCTCAACACTTTTGGTTCTTTTCTCTCACAGGTAAAAGGTACAGTCTACCTAATTCACGAATAATGATTCATCAACCTTTGGGAGGTGCTCAAGGGCAACAGACTGACATTGAAATTCAGGTGCATATTAAAAGTCTTCCTCCATTGTTCACACCTATTACCAACATGTGTTCCATCACTATCGGATGATGTATTTATACAAACTTCACTTTGGATACGTTCTTAGTTTTTTCAATCTGATGAATTCCGCTATACTACATATTGCCTTATCAAGGACTCTCATTTGCACATGCAGGCTAACGAGATTCTTCACCACAAGGCCAACTTGAACGGTTATCTAGCATATCACACAGGACAGCCTTACGAGAAAATTGTCCAAGACACAGACCGCGATTTCTTTATGAGTGCCAAGGAAGCTCAGGAATATGGTCTAATTGATGCCGTTATCTCCAACCCTCTCAAAGCTCTTAGGCCTCTACCTGCTGCGAATGGTTCAGCGGATCCAACTCCTACTCCTGCATAATTACATCTTAGTGTAGTTGTGACACAAAGCAGGAAACCAGTAGCAGCAGTTATAGGCTAGATTTTTTGAAGTTGATCTCTTATTTTATGATTCCACGTCATAGTTCGACTTCAATGTCTGGGCGAGTTGGAATTTTCGACATTGTTGAGTATATGATGCAAAAACTTCCCTTTGTGGAGTTGCATGTTCGCTAACCTGAGATGGTTTACTGATTCTGTTTTACTCTTGGAACAGTATGTTGGTTATCTCTTTGTCTTTCCACTTTTATTCTCTCTCATAATCCAGTCCCACCTGCAATTAATGCATTCATGACTGAACCACAACCTGTGTTTATATAACTGACATTCATTTCATCAGTATGTGCTGTGTTACCTATTCTGGTTGCGCTTGGAAACAGGAAACACTGGTCATACAAAGTTGTATGAACAGATGTTGCAATTCTTTTGTTCAACTTCTAAGTGAAAACTTAAAGACGCAGTTGAATCCATGCATTCCAGTCTCCTTGAAGCGTAGAATGCTTCACAGACCATCCCTTCCGCGGTGTACTCGCCGCTTGAAGTCATCTCCCTTGAAGCACTGCTTTTCCTTACGGTGCAAATCGAGGTATGCAGAATCGTCCTCATGCTGTACCAAATTTTTTTTACTCAGAACTGTCAGCCCCAAAAGCGAAAAATACTAGACAATCTTGGTAACGTGAGGCACGTGATTAGCAGTATAAGAAGAGCAGCAGTGCGTACTGAGGGCTTCAGAGCAGATAAAAATTTTAAGGGACTAAGGGAAAAAAAACAGAAAATAGAAAATGTCAAAAACCAACAAGGACATCAAGCATTGACAAACTCCAGCGTGCACAGATAGTTACGCTTTGTTAAAGTCACCAGGAGGTTCAATTCAGTCGAATCATTCTGCAGAACCACAAGCATGTGTCAAGCATCAATGGTCACCGACCTGATAAAACAACCCGAGGTACATCTCCAACTTCTGGAAGAAAATCGAAGATCCCGCTTGGAAATGCACAACGAAATCAAGCACATAAAGGAGACATGCAGTGTGACATGAAACCGACGTCTTGAAGCTGAGTGAGCCAAACTCGACTTCTACAAACACCACCATTCAATGCAATGCCCTCAAAATCATACTTTGACATGAAGCTTCATTCACGCATTCCCAACCCCCGCCCCAGTTGTTTACAAACCTGGCCACTGTTTTGCTCTGAGACGGCCAAAATTTGCCAACTCGTCGACAGCCAAGCTAACCAGGTTACAAACCCAATGTTCCATAGAAACAGAGACAACCGGCAGTGACTACAATCCACCCAGTGATCTAGAGGTCGCAGAGCTAAATTTTAACTCTGCGAAATTGATCGAAAAGAACAAGTCGAAAAAATAATATATTAATAATATTAATAATCAACTACAAAAACCACACAATGAACAGTTTCTGTTTATGCTTTTCTTGTGAGATTAATTGGGGTCTTCAGATTTCATGACATATGGGATGCGACTTAGAGTGCAAAAGGCTCTAATAATTGACTAAGATCTTGTTAACATAATAATAGTAATGATAATAATAATAATATATCTCATTTAATTAATAGTTTATATCTCTTTAGTAGATCCCTCATTATTATTTCTTGTTATTTTAGTTATACCTAATTACATTTTAAACTTCAAATGATTTAAAAATAAAAATGAAACACGTTTAATTGGTAGAGATGTTTAGATTTTTTAACCAATTACTAATTAAATATGACAAAAATTTAAACTTCAAAAGTAATATCCTGTCCTATGAACTCTTTCCAATCCTGTCCACATTGAATTATATCGAACAACAAATACTAGAATCAAAATTCAACATACATCTGTTCTTCTCTACAGTAATATTACAATCACTTCTTTGTATTACAAACCCACAAAAACATGTGAATCCAAATATTCTCGAATTATAAAACTAACAAATTGCACAAACATTAACACACACAATAATGCTTTACCTCTGTATTTTTACTTTTAAGAAATACACCTTTAACAAATCTAAGTCTTCATTCTAACTAAGTTTCTATTTTAACCTACCCTAACCTTTTTTTTTTCCTATTTTGTTCACCGGCAAGCTCACTTCATGAACGATTCTAAATGTCAACAAAGCTATAAATTGATCTAAATTTATAGAATGCATCTAGAATTTACTACAACTAATGTAACTAACAAAAACATAGCTCAACATGCAACCTCCTATAAGCATTAAAAACACAGATATACCCAGAAGATAAAAGTGATAAGGGATTGCCCTGCAATTTGTTGACCTATATAATAGAAGGTTCCGAGACAAATCTTGTAAGATATTTACGAGTAACCAAAAACGTTTCGGATACGTACTCCGGCCTAAAACGCTTAAGAACTTAACTGCTAAGATTGGGCTTCAACATGTCAAGAGCCAGCACAAACTAACACAAAACTTCAAGATCAAGGTCTGCAACATACCCGGCCTATTATACAAAATCAAATGCTCAGCCTCGGATTGTGAAACATCCTGGCTTAAATCTTTGATAATTCCGCCAGAATTTTACATAAGAGACGTTAGATCCTCCAAACCGTAATTGAAATGTGCAATTCCTGTAAGAATCTCTTTTAATATAGATATTTACATCACTATCCCAGAAGTCCCTAATGCCAAAAGCCAAATTCACAAACTGTGTGAGAGGCATTACCATAAGTGAAATTGGGAACTTCTGATTTAGATGATGCATGCATCTACAGGCAGTCTCACACCGTTTCCTCGTCCTTGGCTGCCAAAACAATTTTCTTCAAAATCTCCTTTGTTGAGAAATGCGCATTCTCAACCGCCTTCGAAAATTTTGTCCACTTCTCACCATGCCGAGGCTCGGCAGCTGTACATCTCTGAATTACATCCTGTTGTAAATCCTCGCCTGAATGCTGCAGCTCAAACTTGTACAGCTGTGCCCAGAAGTCCCCAATATCAGGAGCCAAAGTCACAGCTCGGTTCAACCAACTTCTTGCCTTATCAACCTTACGATCCTGCCAAAACAACTTCGCAACGGCTGCAATGACATATGGGTCCTGATCGCAGCGTTTCAATGCATCGACACTCTTAGACTTGCGTTGAGGTCGTGGAGCCATATCGATAGCTTCTGCCCATAGACGTCCACTGGAAGGACAATCTTGAAGTGCCTTGGCCATGAGCGATTCTGCTTCCTTCTTGTTTCCAGCATGAGCCTCGACGCGGATGGCAGCTAGCCAAAGCTCAGGGTTGTGTGTATTCTTGAGCCTAGCCTTCGTGAGAACCGCTCTTGCCTTAGTCAAACCGCCCAGCCTCTCTTCTAAAGCAGCTGCAGATAACCAAAGTGGAATACTGTGAGGACAATTACGCAATGCTCTCTCATACGTATCCCGCGCTGCTTCCGGCTGGCCAATACGGTCCTTGAGCTGCCCGAGCATGAGCCAAAGCTTGTGGAACTGTGGAAACCTCTCTAGACTTTCTTCCAACAATTCTCTCTCCTTGTCCACATTTCCAATCTCACGCTCCACTATCGCTGACTTCATCCAGACCCGCTCAGTGCCTCCCCTCTCTCTGGCCTTGGCTAACAGCATCCGAGCTCTCTCTGGTTCATGATTCTCAAACTCTAACTTGAAGGCAGCTAACCAAATCTCCTCAGAGTTAGGAATAGCGGCATAAGCCTCTTGAAGAATGGCACGCGCTGATGGAACATCCCCTGCTAACCACTTCTCCTTCGCGCCCATGAGCCACAACACTTCAGCCTGAGGACAATAGCCTACGGCCTTCTTCAACATAGCGTCAAGCGATTCCCGAGTTCCGTGACTCTTCTCCAATTGTGCAGCCCGCAACCAAACACTCTTCTTGCCCGGAAAGAAAGTCAATGCATGAGCATAGATTGCTCGAGCTGTTTCCACAGAGCCACGTTTCTTGCATTCATCAGCATCTGCCACCCATGTTCTCTTCCTATCTTCCTCTTCTACTCCAATGCCGATAGTTGAGGTAATAATAGCTTGGCAAGTTGCCACTGAGCCGGCACGCTCTGCTGCTTCTGCCTCCTTCATCCACGCTTCCCGATCAATAGAAACTCCGTCACGTTGAAGCGTACGAATAGCTCTGTCAATGATCTTCCCCACCATAGCAGTGTTTCTGTTAGCTTCTTCCAGCTTAGCTGCAGTAATCCATATACTTGTCTCCGTTGGTAACATTTCACGTGCTTTGTTAAGAACACGCTTTGCGTTATCGTAAGTCTCAAGACGAGCCAAAGCCAACCAAAGCTCCACGTGAAGAGGGCAGCATTCAACAGCTCGTGAGAGAAGGATTCTTGCATCATCTTCCTTGGCGAGTTCAACAACGGCTTTCCAAATCCTCACAGAGTCTGGTATATGTTCAAGAGCTTTTCGCAATACCCGTGACTTGCTGATGTCATCGCTCTCAAGCTTCGACGCTTGCATCCACAACTTCACAGAATTAGGGATAGCTTTAACACCCTGAGCTAATACAGCTTTCGCGTTCTGGGGAGTCGCTAATCGGCAGGCCTCAAGCCAAATATCCTCGTTCTGGGGACATTCCTCGCATCCCTGCTGTATGAAATTCCTGGCTGCTTGAATTTTTCCAGCAACTTCTTCCAAACGAGCAGCTGCAATCCAACCGGGGGCGTGCTTTGGATTCGTTTGAATAACAGATTTAAGCAACAACCTTGCCTTTTTTATATCAGAAATCTCGGCATCACTGTTGATTTTCATGCTCTTTAGATCAGTGAGGTAACCCTTCGGATCTACGACGGTCAATCCACTCACAGAGTCAGAAAGACGATCCAGCTTTAGGGACAACACTGTGCCTCTTCCTTCTCCAACGGCTGTAAGATCTGTAACAGGAGTCTGCCCATACGGGGTCTCCACGCCCGCAGCTCTGGACCGAGGGTCAAGCGCAGTTGCGTGCTCATGCTCCTGCTTGGCACGTTCAAAAAGAGTGTCCGGTGGGGGAACAAAACTTTCAAACCTTTTCTTCTTGTTCCTCAGCGAATAGTCTCCAATTTCTGGTATACTTTCCCATTCCGTAGCCGATAATGTAACCAACTTCCGCTTCAAATCAGCAAATTGTTCCGTAATTTTGGGGTTTGAAGCACGATACTTCTCGATTTCTTGCTTCAGACGAGCTTCTCGGCGATCCTTCCGCCTAGAGTCCATACGCTTATCAATATCCTCCCACACGGCATCAGCCTCCTTGTCATCTTCATCATATTCGCCAGAGGCAAATAATCCCACATCATTTCCTTCAAACTCATCAAACTTCTGATTTTCATCATACCCTTTCTCCTCTGCTTCCTCCTCCTCCTCCTCGTTTCCTCCTTTACCTCGCCCACGCCCGGCACCTGCTGGCGCTGCTGCAGCTCCTCCGATTGTAGTCGCGGTCCTGTCCGGCAAATCAGGTGCTGCTCTTGCGGGCCCAATATCAGACCTGGTAGTGAACCCAGTCGCACCACGTCCCAATCCAGCAACATAATTGGCTGGTGGCCTGGAATTCAAAAAATCCAAACGAGGTTTGGGGGCAACCGGCGCCTGCATTCCTCCCAGAAGTTTTCCTGTGAGGTGCAGGGTGCAACCATCCCTAATTCCATAGCTTTCAAGCAGAGAATCATCCTCAATAAGCTGCTTGTTACAAAATGCAATACCGAAATGACGCGCAGGAATGCGCTCTCGCGCTTCAATCGACTCCTTCAGAAGCTGCACAGTCGCAGCCCCTTCAGGCAACGACACGCAAACTGTCCTCCCCGCGAAATTCCGTATGAAAAAATGCATGATGGCCTTATATTAAACTGCCACAGCAAAAATTCAAAAACAGTGAAAACTTCAATCCACAATCCCGATTCACCAGCCGAACAAGCTCCCCTCAATTGCCACAAACACAAGACCCCCAGTATTCAAGCCCTAAAACCTAATCAAAAACCGCAAACAAACTCTTCCGAAACTCCCTCTTTCGCTGACTGCGCGCGTAAATAATTGTCGCTGAGAAAACAGCTGAGAAAATATCACCAAGCTACAATCGCATACCCCAGGCTCACCTCTGGGGAACAACTGCACCGGACTATGCAGCGCAAAAACATATCCCTGAACATGAATTCTAACAATAACCTCAAAATTAAACGGATTTGAAGCACTTTAGGTCCTGGTTAAATCCAACTTGGCTGCAAATAGAAAACGCAAACGAAAGAGCACGATCAGCTGACCGTCCAAGAACTGAAATTCCTTCACCGCCTCAGAAGATTGCGAGTCACTCCATCACAATTGAGCGGCTGCTGATTCCGAGCGGCGGGTCTGGTCGCGGTGAGCTCGCACGCACTGTAGTTCAGTCTCGCTCTGCCGCAGCGCGAGAGCCACGGAGACCGGGGACGAACTTTCTTCGACCCCTATCACCGTTTCCGTTGTCGCGGGCTTGACTCCACGGTTTTGAGTCCATGTCTCGTGGTCGAAGTTCCTTACGAAAAATAAAATGAGATTTTGTGAATGGAAATGTGTGTTACAAACATCCAACAAGAAGATTCTAAGAATATTCTATTAGGTTCTAGAAGATTCTAAAAGTTTTTTAGAAGATTCTTAAAAGTTTTAAAAATATTTTAATAAGTTCTAAAAATTTTTAAGAAGATTAAAGAAGTTGTTCAAGAAGTTTCCTAAGATTGCTTCATCTTTAAGTAATATGAAAACTTCTTAAGAAGCTTCACAATATCTTATATATATTGGAGTTGAGGTTTAGGAGATCCTCGGTCTCGACAACATATCTTTTGGAGTTTTAGCTTACTTTTTTTGATGCTAATCTTATATTCATCTAGTTTAATCAAATATTTGTTAGCTTTTTTATTGAAACTCTTTTGTTCAACTTCTTGTTTGGTTCCATATATAGTGTATCCATGACAGTTTGTCAAGACTACCTTCTTATCAATACTAAAGCTTGATGCTTCTTGATAAAGAGTAGATTACTCTTCTTCTTGAAAGTATCTAGGCGCTTTAGAGGTTGCAAAGTACCTTCTTCTAAATTGGTATTGTTTTAGATTTTTTTTTCTTGAAGATAGCTAGAAGTGAAGATGTTAATATAATTGAGTCTCTCAAGTCCAAGTTAGATGTTAATATGAACATATTGAATGCTTTAGCTCAAAGAACTACTAAAATTGAAGAATGTTTTGCAAGATTTTATGGTGATGCAAGACTTGGAGCAGATCAGCCTATCATAAAACCACTTTCTCAAGCTTTTACATCCAAAGAGGTGGTGGCACTTGTACTTCAATTAAAAATTTTACCTATTCAATAATATAAAGAGTCTTAGATAAGTCTTTTAGAAAAGTTTGATGGTACATGGTCAAAGTTCCAAGAGTTTGATAACCAAATTTAATTGATAATTTTTTTATAAACTAAGCACTATCTAACAAAAGATCCACGAGTTAGATTAGTTTGAACCTTGTTCATATGATAAGTCTTATTTAAGTTTGTTCTATTATTTGAAAAGAAATTTCTAATCTTGAACAACTTTGAAGCTTTCTTAGAAGTATTTGCTGAGGCATTTGGAGAACATGACAAGGCTTAATAGTTAACAACAAAGATTTGCTTATTACATCAAGGATAATGCTCTGCATGAGTTTCTACATCTAATTTTAGGCAATCGTCTAGTTACATTAACTAGAATGAACAAGTTCTTATGAGCAAATTCTATTGGAGACTAAAAAATGATATGAAAGATCTATTACTATCATGATATGATCCTGAAATACTCAATGAAGCTATTAGCCATGCTGTGAAGTACAATAATCAATTATTTCAATATTGTTAATATTAATGCTTATAGACTTTGACAAAGCAATGCATTAGAAATTTCTTCTCTATTTCTTCAACAAATATATTACTTCTATATTTTAGAATTGAGGATATATAAATTGATATAATATGATTCAAACCTTTTACAAAAAAAGAGAAGAAATGTCAATTTCAATGAAGCCTATATTTATATTGTGGTGAAGAAGGTCACAAATCTGAAAATTATTCAAAGAAACAACCATGACTAGAAGTACAATTGCCATAATAGGAATCATGTGGTTAGACATTTCAACACCTGAAATTTATTAAAGTTCTTTTGTTTTAGCCCAACTTACTTGTAGTTTTATTACATCTTTATTTTTTGGCCTAGAAAGGCTTCAAACAAATGCCTGATTAGATTTAGGAGCATCAACTTGCTTTTCAGATGAGAATTTTTTAAACTTCATAAATGTTTTCAAATACAAAAGTCAAAACTTGTTGTTAAGGATATGAGTCTCAAAGAAAGAAATCCTCAATACATTCTTGTATCACTCAAAAAGACTAAAAAATTATTAAAGAGGGTATTATATTGAATTAAAATGGCTATTGCTAAAAATAAGATGACTAGGAAGTCTTAAAATAAGACTAAGAACAAGAAAGGCGTTGATAAGAGTGAAGAAGGCTTTATCCTTGCTTCCATATATAATTTTTACTAAAAACTATATGGCCATATCATATAAGACCTCTAAAACTTGTTGACTTTGCAAGACTCATATTTTAACTTACGAGACAAGTTTTCTATATGTATGCCATATAATTAACTAATTCTGCAAGATATCAACAAATGATTAATTTGTTGATTAAGCTTCTAACCTTCTAATCAATTACAAATACATGTAAAGTCAAAGCAGGATCTATGAAGCTTTTAGGAAGCATTTCTAAAGTATATTACAAAATAAATCTACTTTTATTTACTTCTACTTAATCATATAAGTAAATATTAGAATAAATATATATGTGTGATATTATCCTTTCTTATAGAGACAAGTTCTACCAAGAGTGGTCATCATATATTGAAAAAAATTAAAAATGCTACAAATTATATTTGCTACATACTTTGATCTTTATTTTCTTTAAAAATGGATTATAGGTCATTTCAACTATCAATAGTATCTTATACCAGGGTGGAAAGACTACCTTATTATTTGATTGTTGTTAAGACCTTTAAAACTTCTTTCAAATAAAACATTTAGAGCACCATCAGAAGTTGTTCCTATTTTTAATAAAATCACCAAATATTGGAAATCTCTTCTAAAGTCGAGATTCCAAACATGTTGTATCTTGCCATCTATTTGAAGAAGGATATATTGTTCTCAAGGATCTTCATCTTCAAGATTGTGACAATTATAATATCTTGTCCAATAAATCAGCAATTGATAGTTCTTGAGTTAAATCTATTAGTTGTTGATTCTCTATCTTTTTAGGATCACAAATACACAAAAGTTAGAAACAAGAGTAGAAGGTAGAATGCTATCTTCTTTGGAACTTGTTTTTTTTATAGCATATAATATATTTATGAGTGTTGATGTGTATTAGAGTCATTAGTAGATTAATTTAAAGAGAGTTGACATAAGAAAATTTATTTTAAAATTTACTTATGTTGATTATAGTATTTAAATTATATAGAATTTTGATATTTAGTATAAAATTGAAAATATAAATAATTTTATGACAGATTTTGGAAATTGAGTGTTGCAATTACGAGGGTGATATTAAATTCTATATCTTTTATGAAAGAATTTTTACACTTAGAGTTTGTATGAAGAAGTTATAGAGTGTTGAAGATAGCACATGCAATATGAAAGGAATACGTGAGTTTTTTTTGTTGATAGTAATAGTTGATACCAAATCTTGAATTTTTAGATGAAATTTTGGCTCAAAATTCCTAAAAGTGTGTGTTATTAGGTTAAAAAGCTATGTATCAAAAGTTTATGGTATTTGAATACTTAGTTTGTGAGATATGAAGAAAATTATACTCAAATATATATAAGCAAGGGTTTGAAGCTACTATTAGGGTTTTGACAACATCTCAAGATTCATAATAAATTTATACTTGAAATTTTTTGTAGTAGTTGTTAAAAGTACATCAATTCTTCATGTAAAATTTTGGTTTGTTTGGATGGTCTGATTGTGAGCTATAAGCTGTTGAAGTTTGGAAAAAATTCACTTTAAGGATATACAAGTATTTATAATATTTTTATTATATTTTTAGTGATCTTTGATACTTAGGACTTATACATTAATGTGATTTTCTTTTTAGGAACAATTTTATATGTAAACTTGGTATTTTTTTTTTAATTTTGAGGCTTGGTTAAGCAATTAGTGGAAACAAAAGCCTAGCACTTTTTTAAAGCAAATTTTTTCTATCCCAACATATTGACGCTTCCAATGAGAGAGCCTTAAGGATATAAATTTCTCAACAAGTCAAGATAGGGGATCAATTTTTAGGATTTGCATTATCAGGTGGAATTAATGCCCATGATTTATTTAAGGTATTTGCTCAATTTATTGAAGAAAAACAAGTTGTGTATAAAAAGAATAGGAACACCACCAAAGCTTTACAAGTAGTAGTGGATAAGATTGGAAGATTTGATGGAAAGAATATTACTAAGTTCCTAAAGATTTATATAAGTGAAATGGAAGTGCATCAAGTTTCAAAAATCAAGATGATTACCACCTTTGATTTGGCAGTGATACCAAAAATCAGAGAGATGATGCAAGAGTTGCATATTGAGGCTATATCATGGAAGAAATTTGAAGAACTCTTAAAAAATAAATTTTTTAGGAAGTCTCAGAGATAATGACAATTTAAATTATAAATGTGGTAAGTGTAAAAGTTATAAGGTTGCAATCAAAGATGGAATTGTATTTTTTAACGAGAGTAGTATAAGGCCAAATTTCACCACTTGATGAAATCTATGCCACATAACAAGTCCAAGAGGTGGAATTGGAGAACTCACAATTGTGTAATTTTTAAATTAATTTAAATCTTTATATTAAAAATTCAATTATTTTTAGGCCTTCCAAGCAATGGTTACCAACATTAAATTAACATGTTAAATAAAATTTACTATGCAACCACAATAAAAATAATTAATTAAGTTATTACTATTAATTGACCATAAGCATAAAAACTTAAGTTTGAATTAAAAGCAAAGTTAAAAGTTAAGTTAAAAAAAGTTAAAAATTAAGATTAAAAAGCTAAGTTAAAAGTTAAAGTTAAAAAAGGTTAAGTTAAAAGTTAAAAGTTAAAATTAAAGATTAAGTGAAAAGTTAAAATTAAAGATTAAGAAATAAGTTAAAATTATAAGTTAAAGTTAAAAGTTAAAAGTGAGAATGTTAAAGATTAAAATTTAAAATTTAAAATTTATTAGTCAAAAAGTGAAATGTGGAGCTTACAAGTCACTGTGAAGACGATAGTAAAAATAAAGTGAGAGATATAAAAGCGAAGGTACCTTGACAACACGTCAGGATTGAAGGCAGCGACCC